GTGAAGCCACTGCAGTATCTGGCTTGAGTCACAGAAAAGAACCAGGTTTCTCTCATTGGTTAACTTTGAGCTTTCAGATCAAATGCAGAGGCAGGCCAGGGACAACGAAAGAAGCCACCAAAAGTGGAGTATTAAGTGATTCCCAAACAATATTTTGACTTAGTGTTTTTCTTTATTATACCTTAGAAACCTATTATGCTGTCCTTCATCTATAACTCAAATTCACCATGACATATTTCTCTCAAGAGCCCAGTAAAGAGTGAGGGAGAAAGGTTCACAAGGAAGAAACCTACCCGGAGATGCCACTATACTTAAATAACATGTCTGTAGTGCCTTTGGAGATAGGTTTTGCCATCTTTGTTCAACTGATGAACATTTCAACTGGTTTTCAAGCTACACAAATGATAGGAGTCAATTGTTCTGGAGAGAAAGATGTCAGATGAAAGACTACTTGAAATTTTAATTGTCATTACCCTACTCTTCAATTTCATTTAAATGACATAGTAAACATTCATTAAGAAGATGCAAATTAAAATTCAACCCTACATTGGTAGACTCAGAATAAGATCTACAGAGCAACAAGCCTGTAAAGAGGGTGGAGTTACATTGATTGCCAAGGCATACACACAGACAATGTTTTAGTTTTGGCTTAGAGACTCAAGAATGGGAGTATTAGGAAAGTTCAACAGAAACCTTAAACATAGAAATGACAGTATTGTACGACTGTTTGCTATCCCATGGACTACACAGTCCATGGAATTCTCCAGGCCAGAATACTGGAGAGGGTAGCCTTTCCCTTCTCCAGGGGATCTTCCCAACACAGGGATTGAACTGGGGTCTCCCGCATTGCAGGTGGATCTTTATTAACTGAGCTAACAGGGAAGCCGCCAGAAATGACTGGTAGAGCCCCAAATACTTTGAAAATCACCATTCTAACTCCTACAAGAAAAATCTCCAAATTAGGTAACTCTCTCAACAACAACAAAAATAAAACGACGAAATACTCCCACAGAAAGAAGTCTTACATTAAATATTCCAAATGGTAATTTATTCATCTATTTTGCCAAATGTAGTTTACTTTACCATAAAATGTCTATAAAACCATAGTAAATCTTACCTGTGCTAAGAAGATACATAAAATTGCTCATTAGAGAGCCAAATTGAATGAGTAAGATATATTTCTAACTTTTAAGTGCTTGTTAGTAGAGGTCATTTACATAGTTTTGCTTCTTAATTTAAATTTATTGTTGGCTCAGGAGACACACTCATGTTCACTGCACACACACGTCACTTCAACAATACACATGTTCTTACCTCCACTACCTGTTAGAAATCATTTCTAAAAACTTTTCTCAAAGATGATTAACAAATAATTTTCACTTAACTGAAAAGATAACTTTCTAAGAACATGGATGGAAGGGTTTCTGTTCTTTGGATCTTCTCTATTAACACTAATCCTGGAATTAAAAAAAAAAAAGCACTGTGTACATTCTTCACCTGTTGGTTTAACCTTTGGGTATAGTCCAGTAGGAGCAATCCTGAAAAGTTAACTTGAGTTATTCATGTAATGCAGATTGGAAGCTCTATTTCTTTAAAATATATCCCAAATCCACTTACTGCTTTCCATCCCCACTGCTGGGCTTGTCAGGTGACTCAGTGGTAAAGAATCTGCCTGACCAGCAGGAGACACGGGTTCAATCTCTGGGTTGGGAAGATCCCCTGGAGAAGGAAATGGCAACTCACTCCAGTATTCTTGCCTGGAGAATCCCATGGACAGAGGAGCCTGGCGGACTACAGTCCACGAGGTCACAGAGTCAGACACGACTTAACAACTAAACAACAGCATCTTCATTGTTAATGATTGCCTTAACCCAAGGCTGCTCCAGTAGTCTCTCAGATGGGGTTCCTGATTCTTCTTTGCAAGCCATTTTTTTCCCCACATTGCAGTCACAGTGAGTATTAAAAAAAAAAAAAAAAAAGACAAACATGAATATGATATCACATCTCTGCATAAAACCTACCAAGGACTTTCTACGGCACTTAAGAAATCCAAATCCTCCACGAAGATCAGTTTGTTCGCTCTCCCCCAAAACTTCCAGGCAGACAGCTCCCTGCCCCTGCTCTTCCAAGCTGTCAACTGTGGACCTTTGCAGTGACTCTTCCATTTGCCTGGAACAGTCTCCAGTCAGCTTTGTCTGGCCACTGCTTCTCATCACCCAGCTGTAAACAGAGTCATCCCCTCCACGGAGAGCTCCTGTCTGACCATCTCCTATTTAACAGTATGCCTCCATCTACAAGATCAAACCAGTCAATCCTAAAGGAAATCAACCCTGAACACTCATTGGAAGGACTGATGCTGAAGCTGAAGCGCCAATACTTCGGCCACGGGATGTGAAGAGCCGACTCACTGGAAAAGACCATGATGCTAGGAAAGACGGAAGGCAAAAGGAGAACGGGGCAGCAGAGGATGAGATGGTTGGATGGCATCACCGACTCAATGGACGTGAGTTTGAGCAAATCTGGGAGACAGAGAAGGACAGGGAAGCCTGGAGTGCTGCAGTCCATGGGGTTGCAGAGAGTCAGACTTGACTTAGTGACTGAACAACTCCACCTACAAAAATTTTATTTGTATCTGTTTATCACCTATCTTTCTTTTAGCATATAAGCCCAATGACAGCACGCCTCTAGTCTATTCTGTTTTTTATTATATTCTTGCCACTAAAGCAGTACCTAACACACAACACCCAGTAAATGTTTGAGGATGAATGTTAATTACCCCAGCACACAGGTTAAGTGCTTGGGCTCTGGAGTTAGGTCAACCTGAGCTGAAATACCAGGTTTGCAATTTACTAGCTTTGATGCTTAAGTCTTTTCTAAAGACTTGATTTCTTCATAAAATAGAAATATTCATGGGGCAAGATAAATCCAAATTTAAGAGAGGTAACTGAGATTCAAGTTTCCCTAGTCAGAGCTCACAGTCTTCCAGGATCTGCTTCATATAGACTGTCTCTTAAATCCCAATCTGAGATTTAAGGTCCCTTATGGAGGGGCAGGGCTTCCCAGAAGGCTCATCCGGTAAAGAATCCGCCTGAAATGCAGGAGATGCTGGTTCGATCCCTGGGTCAGGAAGATCCTCTGGAGAAGGGAATGGCTACCACTCTAGTATTCTTGCCTGGAGAATCTCACGAGCCTAGTGGACTACAGTCCCTGGGGTCACATAGACATTACTGAGGGACCAACACTTGCACCTCATGGAGGGGTAAGAGAGGGGATGTAAAAATACAAAGCCCTGACACTTCAAATCATCACTAAATAATTCCTTTCTTTCAGGAACCCGAGTGTGGTATTTCAAGAAACTATTAAGGAGGCTCTACAATTGGACTGCCTGGATTCAAATCCAGCTTCCTGTATTTACTGTTGGCCTGTTACTTAAAGTCTCCAGGTCTCAGTTCCCTCATGGAAGAACAGGACTTCTTCAGCAATGCCATGGAAACCACTTAGCACCTTAGTTCTTAATTTATACAGGGCACCCAACCAACAGGAGTCACAAAGGATCAGACGGAATTTAAAATATTTCTTACTTAGGTAAATTCGAGATCTCATATCAAGAATTCATTCCATTAAAGAGAAAAAAAGAGAAAGAAATGCCTTTTTCCCAACATGGAACCTTGCATGACTTTAAGGTCACCTTCAGAGATCAATTGCAGATGACTCAGAGCCAGCCGCTGACCTACCTATCATGTCAGAGTTTCTTCTGGCCACAAGCAATTCATGCCTCTGCTTTGAAGATCATCACTGCTCTCAGCATCTTCCTTCAACAGGGACAGAGTCATATTGTGTGCTGTTTACAAGAGGTCATAGGAAAACTTCGAATGCTATAATGAATTTCCGAAGAAGACTCTTTAGGACTCATTTTATGAAGCATTTTCTCCTTATCTAAGGGCCTATGTTAAAGCTTAAAAAATATTCCAGTTACTTAAGTATTTACGTTCTCTATATTTCGTGCCGTTCTAGTCTTAGTATCCACGATTTAAGAATTCCATTACAGGAGCCATCCTCTTAAAGGCATTGATTGTCCGCCTGGGCATGACCCAGGTGCTTTCAAAACACAGAAGAGTCCCAGTGATGGATGAAACCATCACGGATCTCTAAGGTGGAGGCTTACACGAGACTCTTCTTTCAGAACCATCAGGGGAATGTTTTCACCTTGGGATGAGACTTCACAAAACCCCATTGTCTAATAGGAGCTGGGACAGCCTGTCTCGTGCCATGTGGGGCGGGGGCTGGGCTGTGGGCGTCCTGGGGGAGGGCGTGGAGAGAAGCTGCCTGCAGACCAACGCCACCCGCTCACCAACGCCACCCACTCACCAACCCCACTCGCTCTCCCTCTGCTTTCTAATGGCAAGGACAAGGGGCTTTGTTTGCTCAAGCGACAAAATAAGATGAAAACAGTGGATCTCAAACTTTGGTTTACCTGAAATATCAAAGGTCGTACAGAGGTGCACCAATCAGCAGCTCCCAGGCCCCGTGCGTGCGTGTACCTGTCAATATACCTGTGCACGCTCGCATGCACTTGCTTAAATGCGTCTGTGTTCATTCTGCGTGGCTCTCCACCGCCCTGGCTTGCAGCCTGGGTCCGCAGGACACTGGAGAGCCTGCCTCTGCATCCCTTGCCGACCCCCCACCTTGTGTTTTTCCACCCATTAACTGGGGATAAATGACCCAGATACCGTGCCTATTAAAAGCCTCATTTTTCTTTTGCCCTTTTTTTCCTCCGTGTACCACATTATCAGATGCTGCACACATGTTTAAGTGTTCTCAATCTTGGATGCCCTTTTGAGGGCATGATGGGAGGTTTTTGCGTGTGGTTCTGTTGAGATATCCGGAGTAGAATTATGTAAAGGCAATTGAAGGTTTTTCTTCTCTTCTAGTCTGAAGACAATTACCAAGAGCTAACCTGGTATAGGAGGATATATCAAGAAACTGTACAAAGGCCAGAATGCTGTATTTGCATCTATTGCGAATACAAAAAATAGAGTGAACACCAGTTCCCCTAGCCTACTACATTCTATAATTACATCTCTGCATATCATGGGTCACTTTTATTAAAAGCATCATTACTACAGTTGGCAGCAATTTACATTTTATCTTACATGATAGCAGTTTTCAAAGAAAAAAAATAAAAGGACATCACAACAAAGAAAAACAATACATTTACAAAGTCATGTTTGTAAACTTCAAGGCTAGTTTAGAGCTGAGGTAACGCTGTTTTAGCTTTGTGGCTAAAGTAACAAAGTCCTTTAATTTAAAAAAGGTACCTGATTCTCTCTTCTTTCACTCTTTATTAATTTCATCTATTTATTTTGTTTATACCAGTGCATTACAAGACCACGAGACAATGGAACTGCAGTTCTGTCTGGCAAGAACCCTCCCAGTAGGTTAATTTCCAAAGGGACCCTTCACATTCAACAGCTGCCTTATTATTGCTGCGCCTCGGGACAGAGACGTTCACACTAAGGTGGAGATTGTCAGAGTGTATGGATGTGTGTGATGCGTGAGTGTGGGAACCCCCCATACAGTCATAAAGGGAAACAAATGAGCAAGTATGATATGTATGGTAAATTTCATCCTGACCTTCACAGCAAAAAAAAAAAAAAAATTAAAATTAAAAAATTAAATATATAACTTCATACTTCCTTTGAGCAGCACTTCCTTCCATGAGTGCCACTCGGTTACAAATTGCTCTTTATTATAATACCAATGGTACCAAAAGAAAAAGTAGAGAACAAGGGAAGAAAAAAAAAAAAAGCAGAGCATTATGTAAGTTTCCTTAAAAAGACAGGATCACCTCTCAAATTTCATCTCTCCTAGGGATAATAAATAATGCACTGCACAATACTTAATGACCAAGATACCTTTCAACACACCTGTATAACATGACTTGGGACTTTTTTTCTTTCTTTTGCTACACTATGTTACAGAACAGCTTATAAAACTATGTATGAACATTAACTGTGAGTGTAAACAGTAGGACTACCACTTGTCAAAAGTTTTTAAACACTTTAACTGGAAACTGGTACTGGTTATTCGTCATTTTCATTGTTTTCCATTTCGTCCCCGCCGTCGAGGGAGTCCAGCTCTTCGCCCTGGGCGATCTCGTCTTCCAGGACGGAGGACTCAGCCGTCTTGTCCAGGCTCTCCTCGGCGTCGCTGCCCTCGAGGGGCTCCTCTTCCTGAAAGGCGGCCCCCTCGGCTTTGTCGGGGGCCTTGTCTTCGCCGGCGCCCACGGCGCCCTGGAGCCCCGCAAGCGCGGGGAAGCCGGGCAGCGTCAATCCCCCCAGTCCTGGAGGTAGAAACATGGACGGGTAGAAGAGGCCGGGGGCCATGGTGGACAGCAGGAAGGGGTTGAAGGCCAGCGGGCTGGAGGGCAGGCCGGCCGGGCCGGTAGCAGCACCCACTGATCCGTTCGCGGAGTCCGGGCCCGGGGCGGCGTCTGTGCTTTTCTCCGGGTCCTTGCTCTCGTCCTCGTGCTCGCCACCCTTCTCCTCCGCCCTGGACGCACCGTCCTCGGGATCCGCGGGGCCAGCCGTGGCCGCGGGGCTCCCGGCGGCGGCAGACAGCGGGGCGTTGAGCAGCCCTCCGAGCCCGAACATGCTGGGCAGCCCGGCCACGCCCGGCAGCATCAAGGGCAGCACGGCCGCCGGGTTCTTGGCGTCGCCTCCGGCCGCCGCGGCTGTGGCCAGTCCCGGAGGGAAGCCCATGAGGCCCGCCAGCTGGAGCGACTGAAGGCTTTGGAGGTTCTGCAGGCTCGTCAGGTCCATCCCCGCGAACAGGCTGTTCACCAACAGTGGGTTAATCCCCGACGTGGAGGCCACGGCTGCGGCGGCCGCAGCAGCCCGGGCGATTTCACTCTTGGGCCTCCGTCCGCGCCGGCTCGCCCCTTCTCCCCGCACCACGGGTCCAGTGAGAAGCCGGTCAAACATCGACTCCGGAACGAAGCCCTGAAGGGAAGGGAGAGGCAAACACGGGCTGTCAAAGTTGCGAGACAAAACCTCATTTCCACCTGGGCCTTTGTGATGAACTAAACACTGATGGTTCAGAATGGAAATACACAAGCAAATTATTCCCATTCAAAAAGCTCAAGGATAGAACCTATGAAAGCAAAGCTTCTCTCTTTTAGCATTATACAGCTCATCAGATTATGCTGAATTGCAGGAAAAAAATGTGAAAGGCTACTCTATCAGTGGGGGTTTCCCTGGTGGCTCAGTGGTAAAAAATCCACCTGCCAATGCAGGAGACTTGGGTTCGACCCCTTGGTTGGTAAAAGGAAATGGCTACCTACTCCAGTAATGCTTGCCTGGGAAATCCCATGGACAGAGGAGCCAGGTGGGCTACAGTCCATGGGGTCGCAAAGAGTGGGACACGACTGAGTGACTAACACTTTTCACTTTCAAGTAATACTTCAGTATTTATCCTGGAGAAACAAAAACTCATCTTCACATCAAAATGTGTACACAAGTGTTTTACAGCAGTTTTGCTTGTAACTGTCACAGTCCGAAAACAGCCCAGAGTCCTTCCACGGGTAACAGGGAACCACACCCAGGGTTATATCCAAGCACAGGAGTGTATCAGCGGTGAAACTTCCGACTCATGTAACTACTTGGATGAATTTCAGTATGAGGAGTGAAGGAAGCCGTCTCAAAAAGGTTATGTAATTTACACTTCTGTATACGTGACATTCTCAAAAAGACAAAACTCTAGGAATGGAGAACAGATCAAGGAGTGGATGCCCTGGGCTGAGGGTGGAGACAGAGAACAATACACGGCAATTTGGGGCAGTGATGCAACTGTCTATATTCTTCTGATTACGGTGGTTGTTCAAGAAACTATCCACATGTGAAGATGAATAGAACTGTTCACCAAAAGAAAAATAAGCACTTTTGCTATATACTTTGGACAAACAAAAAGAATCAAGACTTTATTAACAAATTAATTGCAAAAAGAAATAGTGAAATAAATGTCTAGGCAGAATTGCTGTATTTTTCATTTGTTTATCTTAAAATCAGAAATCAGTTAATCTTAAGGATCTCAACCACCATAAATTCCATTCCACCGATGCTGTTAACCAGGTTTACCTGGGGCCTTTCTCCCTGGAGTAAGTCTGCCTCTAATACCATGAGTGTGTATTTCTATACAGTCCTTTAAATCATAGCTGTCAAATTAATCCACTTTGGATTAATGACATATGGATACAAGGAATGATGATGTATTAATGATCTATGGAAATGACGTACTGTGTCAATTCTTTTAAGCCAAGAATAAGTTATCACTGAATAATTAATGACCAGCAGAAAACAAAGAAAAATTCAGGAAAACAATTTTGTACAGATACCTTCTTGGACAGAGAGGCAGAGTCTGTACTTACAGACTGCTTGACTATGTCCGTCCAGTCTGGGGCCACTGCAAACTCGGGGTTTTCTTCCAGCCACCTGGGCAGATCCTTCATCGGAGGCGCCATAGCTCCACCCATCTTGGGAGAGGCATTTGGAAAAAGACTTAGAAAGTGACAAATTCTTCCCTCTCCCCCATCCCCATTTGTGTATCTACACAGATACATACACACATCACATGTATTCTGGAAGAAATATGAACCTATAAAAGAGGTTGGAATAAAACATTTCTTTCTGGGAAAAGACATCCCAGAGAGATCAATTCTTCAATTCTCTTTCCCAGTGTTTACCTTCTTCCCATTTCGTTTGTTCACAACAGGCACCCTTTCTTCTCCTGTCAAAGTGTTTATATCCAATTTATTAGGGTTTCGACATCTGTGTCGTTTCTGTTTCGGTTTCTGAAATGAGGAAAACAGCACATCTGCGTTCTTCTGCAAAAAAAAAAAAAAAAAAAACAAATCGTATTTAGTAAAACCATAGTTAATACTTATTCTTTCCTGTATGGATGACAAGCAGAACAGTCAGGCCATTTTTAACTACTATGGAAATTTCAAGAATCATTTAAAGGATCAGAAACCCCACTTTTCTTTGAAAGGAAAAACTATTCTCCTTCTCCTGTACTTAAAGAACAAACTTGAAAGCTGAAAATATGCTTTTTTTCTCATCTCTCAATAACCTGCTTCAAGGCTTGTCTTCAAATGTTTCACTGAGTCATGGTATTTTAAAAGGAAACTCTCTCTAGCTCCTTTGCTAATCTCTACTCAATGACGTGAATGGATACAGAGATGATCTCATGTCTACGCCATGAGACTGTGCAGAGGAGAAACAGCCCAAGGGATAAGACAGTCTATGCAGGAGGGTGCATTCTGAGCGGCAGGGACTCACCAAGATAAAATGCAAACTCCCACACTTAAGTTTGAAAAAAATTCAATCACGTAAGTATAAGACATAAAACGTGCACTGTTTAAAGCTAGCAAGCAGTTTAAGTGACAAATCATCTAGGGTTCCTGTCTGATGTTTAATAAATGGCATGAGTGTTAGTTGTTTAAGAAAGAAGCCAATAAAGCCTCAGGCTGCATTAGCCACTCAGATCTCTTCGGGAACAGCTTCCTAATATTCTGCACTGGGCAGATCCAGTCCAGAGACCAATTAAAGTGTGTTGGTTGGGGGAAGGGGGTGTGTTTTTCTATTAATGGGACCACCTGGAAACCACACCATGTGAAGAGTAATGGAAAAAAGTCACATCTATTTGGTGGGAGAAGGGAAAAACAAGGAAACACATACTAGGCGTCTTCAAATAGCACAAGGCTGCTCTTCACACTGGACAGACCTGAAGTTAGTTTCTCTAATGTGGAATTTTTGATGTTTTTGTTTAGTCACTAGGCTGTGTCTGACTCTTTTGTGACCTCATGGAGTGCGACCTGCTAGGCTCCTCTGTCCATGGGATTTCCCAGGCAAGAATGCTGGAGTGGGGTGCCATTCCCTTCTCCAAAGGATTGTCCCAACGATCCAGAGGATCGAACCTGTGTCTCCTGAGTTGGCAGGCAGATTCTTTACCACTTGGGCTACCAGGAAAATCCCTAATGCAGAATACAGTGATAAAAGCTGGAAAATTCACACTGACAAGACAGGCTGAGGAACCAGGGATTTCCATGTTGTATGGGAGAAGGAAAAGGACTGACCGGGCAAAAGTCCTCCCCAACAAGTCTCTGCTCAGTGATACTCACTGGTACATAACTTGGCATATCAACAGTGTAAGTGGGATGCAGCTTCAGCCATTCAACTAAATCCTTATTTTTAGGCGCCTCCTCCCCCACCAGCCTCGTCCCATCTTCAAGATTTATAACAGGGATCCGTGTGTCTGGGTCCAGGTGTCCAGGAGAAGGAATGTTTCTTGTAGGTGGGGTCTCTATATCCTCTTCAAAAGCTTTGGTCACTTCAGCATCCTCCTGCAGAAAGAAGACAGTGGTCTCAATTCTTGAGTGGAGAGAGTGGTCCTAGCCCAAGAAAACAGTAGCTAAGCAGGATGGGTCTCAAAAGGGAAAAAGTCTACTTGAAACAGTGGCAGTTTGGGAACAGCGATTAAATCAGAAGATGTAGCTTATTCTTCACACTGTAGTAATAAGGTAGAAAATTCACAGTCCATCTCTGCTCCATGTTTGAGACTCACTAGGAACATGACACAGGCAGTGGAGTCTGAGCCTGGTATGCCTGAAGGGGCGGGTAGCCTCTCAGTCTTTCTTGGGGATCCCTGGCGAGTGTCATTAAAGAAAGGAAAATTAGGGGACTTCCCTGCAGGTCCAGTGGTTAAGACTTCCAATGCAGAGGGCATGGGCTCAAATCCCTGGTTGGGCAACTAAGATTCCACATATAGCATAGTACAGCGGAAAAAAAAAAATTATAGAAATTATAATTCACGGAATGTTCCAAAAGCCAGTTCATGTGTAGCTTTTTGGCATTCTGAGCTCAGTACAATTTTGTTGGTGGTACAATATTTCATATCAGGCATATGTGGCAACACTGGAAAGATGAACTAGTTGAAGCCAAGACCTGACCATTGCCCAGCCACTGGTCCTCAAACTCTGCATTTCAACCTGCAGCAATTGTTCACGAGGCCCACGTGTCCAGTCATGCTGCTCCCGCTTTGGTTTAGGTCTCCATCACTGGCCCCCTGTATCACTGCAGTACTCCTAAACGGCCCCTCTGATTCTACTTCCATCCTCTTTAATCTAGTCTCCACTCTGTTAGACAGGAGGCAATCTGCTGAAATGCACCCTTCCTAGTTCAAAGATTATGTTACATCACTCCCCCTAGTTAAGCTAATTTTATAATTGAATTCCCATCATCTTCAGGATAAAATCCAAGTTCTTGAGCTCGGCCACCAAAGCCCTCTGTGGTTTACATCCCACCTCGTGCCCAAGCTCCTCTCTGCTGAAACTGCCTCCTCATCAAACTCCCTGGCCAGTAACTCTCGGTTCATCGGACACATTGGGCTCTCCCTGGCCACAGTCCCTTTGCACATGCTCTCCCAGCCCCCTCTTTTCAAATGACTTACTCCCATACAAACTGCAAAATTTAACCGAGGTATGACCACCTCTAGGGAAACATTCCCACCTCTTTCTGCCCACATTTTCCTCCTTCTATCCCCATTCTTCCTTTGGGTTCTCACTCCAGGGGCGCCTCACAACAATGACAGGTTGTTATTTATCTGTCACCCATCTTAAACTCTGAGTTCTCCGGTGTAAGCACCTATCAGGCTTTTATTCTCTGCATCCCAGTACCTGGCACAGGGCATGGCTGACTCCCACAATGCTGCTGAATGCAGAATGGCTGCATCCTTACTTTTCACAGCTGCACCGTGATCTCCAGGATGATGCCAATATGAGATTTTAGGATTTGTCTCATTCCACACAAGTAACCTTGCTGACCTCTACAGCTCTTCACTACTCAGTTTATTTACAGATTCATTCTCCTTCTGTTTTATGTGCTTGCACAAAACCCTCTATAACACCAAATAAGGAATTGTGAAATTCCAACATTTAAAAGTAAAAAAAAATAATTAAACATACATTCTCTAATATCTGTTAAGAGTTTTGAGCTAGGTTGCTAATAGGATTTTAGGGGGAAAAAAACCTAATAAACTCTTAGAGATAGCTTAAAATATGAGAATGAATAAAGTCAGTCATAAGTCTAATATGGAGTTTATAATTACAATAGGAAATTGTAATTGCTAATTCCTGATGCTGGGTCCACAAAATGAGATTCAAATGGAAAGATGATTTGTTGATGTTCCCGGAGAAAGGATTTTCAATGAATAAAACCTATCAAAGCATTAGGGTGGTTCCCAGTAGGGGACCACACACCTAGCAATGGCGTTTCTTTAATTTGGGGAACAACTAGTCAAAACTGATATACTATAAGGTGTATTTTTACAAGATTCTAAAAGTAAATCACATGATCCACAAAAATGACCATTACTATGACTGGTATATTTGTAATAAGTTTTGAAAATAAATTACCTTTTAACCACCTGGATGCTTCTGAAACTCAGACCCATGGCTAGCTCACTTCAGTTGTGTCTACTCTTTGCGACCCTATGGACTGCAGCCCGCCAAGCTCCTCTGATAATAGGATTTCCCAGGCAAGAATACTGGAGTGGGTTGCCATTTCCTGCTCCAGAATCAGACCCAACTAGGGACAAGTTTCAATGGAAGCTTATTTGTCACTTCCAGACCCTAATTCCACCATATCTCCCTACTCCTTTAGGTTATTAAGCTTCTCTTAAATTCAAGAACTCAAAAATGGGGAAATAATAATAGGGATGAAATAAGGAAAAACATATTTGAATAAACTTCTCCCTTTGGCGTTTCTTAAACTGGGTCTACCGCCCAGGGGATGGGCCCACGACCCACATGCCAGCTTACCAGGCACCTCTGTGCTGATCGGGCTTCGAATCTATTATCGTTTAATCTCTAAGTTGTGTCTGACTCTTACTGACCCTATGGACTGCATCCCGCTAAGCTCCTCTGTCCACGGGACTTCCCAGACAAGAATACTGGAGCAGGTTGCTGTTTTGGTGCCTTGTACCAGTCTCAGTGCTTTAGAGGGGACTTCCTTCGTGTAATCTGGTTCCTGGGAGAAACTCTCTCATTCTTAATGGGGTGGCAGTTTTAGGTGAGCGATTGAGACAGATCAGGGCACAGAGCATTTTGATTACATTGCACTCATTTCCTTTGAATTGAAGAAGTAAATGTCAAAATCCACTGACACACATATTTCCTGCAAACCTAAACTAGCACAGACCTCAATTCAGTTGAGATTTTTAAAATACCCATTTACAGAGGTGGGAGAACTTGCAATCAGTAGCTTTGCATATGAACACAAATCCTCAGTCTGAAGCTAAACAAATCTCATAAATGCTGGAGCCCAAACATATTGATACTTCTAAGAGCAGAAGTGTTTCCATCTTGAGGCTCACAGGTTATAGGCTCAGAAGAACATGTGTGTGTTTGGGGCTAGTCTGCCGAGAGTAATCAATACATTAGGACCTTGGGAAGAATAAATCCTCAAGCTACACATGGTTCAGGCTGAGTGATCTGTGCCAACGCTTAGCACAATATTCCGGCTCAGAACCACGGCTCTGTCCACTGTGGCTCCTTTGGTGGGAGGAGCAGCTTTCACACCACATCACTGAGGGGCATGTGCCCTGGCCTGGGCAGCAGAGCCAGAACCCGGCTGCCAGTGTGGGCACATGGGTGGTGGGGGGTGGGGGGGTGTTCAGCCCCTGGACTTACTGCACTCAGCGATGTCCGTTTGTGGCTCATAAACAGCAGGTCGAGGCCCTCCACGTTTTTCCTCCTTCCCCGCCTCCGCTTCACGGGGGGCTCTCCGTCCACAAGGGAGCCATTGAGCAGATGCCTGGTGGGCGTGCGGGACAGGCCGGCCTGGAGCAGTTCCATCTGAGTCTTAAAGGCGTCAGACACCGGCGTGGAGACGTTGGGCAAGATCAACTTTGAAGTGAGAGATGAAAAGTTTGAGGTAGAGCTTGCTGCCTCTCTCGAGGCCTTTGATAAATCGACCACTTTCTCCTGTCCGTTCTCCGAGACCACCTGAGACCCCCGCAGCTGCGCCACCATCTCCATGAGGTTCCGCCGCTTGGCAGCTCTCTCGGCCTCGATCTCGATCTTCCTCCTCCTCCTCCTCCGCTGGCGAGGCACGGAGAGGTTGAGGGCATCTTCCTGTTGAAAAAAATCCCCACAGTGAGCCCAGCCTGCACCTGCCAACAGCGGAAACCAGGGACGAGAAGTTTAAAGAAATGAACATCTGAGGCCAGAGCAGCCTTCTTATTTCAAACGGGACCGGCCAACATGAGCTTCCGAACTGAGTCAGGAGAGCTTATCTCTAGGCTGCCGGGGCAGGGCGCTCTTACTGACCTTGGACAGCTGAGGGGAGGCGGTGAGTTCCTCGCTCCCGCTGACGCTGGCCTGGCCCACGGTGGAGAGCTCGGCCAGGCTCCTCTTCTGCAGGGGACTGTCGGCGGTGGGGGGCGTGTAGCCGGGGATGAGGCCTTGGAAATCAAACATCTGGCGCCTATTTACCGGCCATTTGCCTTTCAACACTGCTTCACAGATGTTGTCTAATCGGTTTATCATTACTCGGTCCTAGACAAGAGAAGAAGAAAAGTCACACAAAACCGTAACAAAGACCTGGTGAAAATGACGAGATGGATACATCCACCAAGACGCCGAAGAGAGGAAAAGGCTTAAAAGGGAGCAGAAAGCAAATGAGCACGAGAAGAAACCAAACCCACCAGGACTGCTTTAGGCTGCTGCGAGGGCCGAAGGCGGCCACAACACAGACCGGTCAGTATTTCTCAGTTATGAACACTGAGGCACATAAATGAGAGGGCATTACATAACCACTGCCTCTAAAACACGTGTTTTACAAGTCACTGCTGTTTGGGCTACAGACTGTTGGTGTGTCGGCAGGTGACCACGGATGGAAGCCTGCAGTCAGACTTCACCATGTGCTGATGCTGCAGTCCTCGGGCTGGACCGCAGCCTGTCCCAGGAAGTGGGACATCATTAGCGTCACTATTAATAAAGTTCAGCATTACGAATGGGCACCAACCTAGGAACACCTAATGAGTGCCGATTTGCATCCTCTACCTATTATCACTTCAAGTTTCATTGAAGCGTGGACGTTAAAAATTTCTAATTACAGCTCTCAGACCCAGTTTCCACAGATTAAAAGGGCCTGCTACTAGGGGCCTTCTGGCTGATCTGGGAAGCTCCCTTCTAAACTCAGTAAGGGAGATGAGCAAAACGAGGGAGATAAGGGGAGCAGGGGCCAACGTCTCTGATAGTACAGTCTTCAGTTAAAAATTTCACAGTTTCTTTCCAACAGATACTAAGTGAGGCCAGCCTGGGAATGAGTCCATAGAAACCTTTTTTTGTGTTGTCTGTCTTAAACCAGACAGCCCTGTTATGGTGATTAGGAAGATTATTTCCCCACCCTGAAAAACAGACCCAAATTACACAGAGATTTATTATAAAATTATACTAGTTAGCCAAAAGAGTAATTTCCACTTTGTTTTTGGTTACAGATAACTACATTTGCGATTATCTCATAATTATTTGAGCAAATGGGTCAGCAGCCCACCCTCTCCCCAGTTCAGAAGATTACAGGGTTCCAAATATATAGCAAGCTGTCTTAGATCTGAAAGTTCTGCTTTAGAATATTAAAAACAAAACAAAACACAGTTTTAAAAGTCCACACATATTCCCTTGTGCATTGTTGTTGGGATTGCAAAATGGTACAACTGCAGTGAAAAACAGTACAGAGGTTCCTCAAAAATTAAAAACAGAACTACCATATGATCCAGCAGTACCACTTGTATGTATGTACCAAAAAAAAAAAAATTCAAGCAGGGTCCCAATGAGATATCAGTACATTCCCATTTACAGCAGCACCATGATAAGCCAAGAGAAGGAAGGAAGCCAAATGTCCCAATAATGGACAGATGGATAAGGAAAATATGGTACAGACATACAATGGGCTATTATTCAGCCTTAAAGAGGAAGGAAATTCTGTTACATGCTTTCACAAAGATGGACCTTGAGGACGTTATACTAAATGAAATAAGCCAATCACAAAAGAACAAGTACTATATGACTCTACCTATGTGAGATATGTCAAGTTCACAGAAATGGAGAGTAGTATGATTATCCAGGGGTAGAGAGTGAGTGGAGTTGGATAATGGGTATAGAGTCTCAGTCCTGCAAGATACAAAAGTCCTGGAGATCCCTTTTACAGCATGGGGGGAAAAAAAAAAATATATATATATATATATATGATGTGAATATATGAATATATTTAACACTACCCAACTGTACACTTAAAGAATGGTGAAGACTGTAAATTTCATGGTGTGTTTTTTACAATTAAACCCCCGCCCCCCAAATCCACACATTTTGTCAATGGGTGAGTCTTTTGAAGCAATAATCCATAGACTGTACTAGACAAATAACCTAAAAGACATCAAGGAACCAAAGAGCTCTATAAACAGTTCTTTTTTTTCTTACTTTCTTTGCTTCTTGTCACCTTTCCTATCCTATATGAAAGTATTCTACAGAATTTTTTCTTCACGCTTTTCCAGATCATTCTTTTATAAGAAAAAAAAAAAATCTAGTATACTATCTTCATACGCTATGTCAAAGTTTACCTGAAAATTATTTGAAAAATCAAGCTAGAATGATTTCTGTTACCCCATTTACTATTTTAGTCACCAAATAACAACAAAATCCCACCAACCTTAGGCCAAAATGAGAAGGCAAACGTCCTTTCATGAAGGAGCTGAGCTACAGATGGGTCACCATCCTCCATGTAGAATCCATCCCGGGTCTCATCCCTAGCAGTGCTCATGGAAGCATTGCTCTCTTCATCAAAATTCTTCCCTCTAGAGACAGCCCCTGCTGAGAAATGAGTTAATGTGCATCACCCACAACCAGAATCTTTCTGAAAAGGAAGTGCAGAATGGAAAGGGTTTAATATCTGAATGCTGATGAGCTCCTCTGTATCTGGTACCTACTATGGCTAGAATGGTATCAGGCATTTTGCAAATCCTGTCACTTAAAGCTTGCAAGGGCCCTTGCACATAGCTGGCATTACTCCCGTTTAACAGATGAGGAAGCAGAGGCTTGGGGGGCTATGTCACTAGTCAGCAGGCATCCTGCTGCGGACAGGTCTCGGGGGAAGGTGGTGACAGCCAAGTCTCTGACCTGCAGGACCCTCTGCTCCTCCACCAGAAAGAGGACTAATGTGTTGGCCATGATTCCGAGCTGAAGCTCAGGCAGAGAAGTATAGCACGTGTTTTATTTTTGTTTTGTGGCAGGTAGAGCAACCTACCTGGGACTTAGAAAGACAACTGGTTCTTCCTAGATTCTACTCCCACTCTTTATTTCTGAATGGAAACTAAATTAAGCATCATCTGCCTTAAAATTGTTATTGCCTGTAAAACCTTCCTTCTGAGAAGCTGCTGGAAGTAGTGCGTTCACAGGTCATAGCAGGGCAAAACACACATCTAAGCATTACCTGATACCATCCTAATGAAAATGTACACTCATTACCCAAAAACCCAAAGAGGACACAGATCATATGACATGAAGACAGCCGCTGGGGTGGGGCCAATAGAGGCCTGAGGGTCAGTCAGTTCTTACCTTCAGGCTGGGAAGACTCTTCTGACTTGTCATCATCTTCCAGCTTTTCCTCCTCGTCCTCCTCAGAACCCTTCTCAGAAATGGACTTGGGCCCAGAGTCTGCACCGACCTCCACACCTCTGGGCTCGCTCTTCCCAGCCCCCGTCTCCGCCTCGCGTTCTTGCCTCTGGTCCTTCCCACTGCCCTCGGCCTCCTCGTCCTCCTTCCCCTCAGGCTTCTCGGAGGCCTCCCTGGCCTTGGCCTCGGCTGCCCCCGCCTTGTCCTCCTGACCCGGGGCAGCTGGGGTGGCGGCAGGGGTCTGGCCAAAGCCCAGAGCCAGAGGGTTCAGGGCAGGGGCACCGGCCGCCCCCCGGGCCTGGGCGAAGTTCTTGTGCGCATCCAGGAAGGAGAGCTCGGGGTCGTTGAGAATGTGGTAGTCAGTGCGGCTGACCCCGTGCTTGGCGGCACCCACCAGCAGGTCCCGGTCGTGCCGGCCGCACTCCCACCACTCGGGCAGGTCCAGGCTGGGCTGGCAGAGCTTGAGCCGCTCAGCCAGCTGCGGGTGGTGCAGCACCTGCTCGCGGATCCTGCGCAGCAGCTCGATGCGGTACAGCGTGCGGGAGGCGCGCTCCTCCGTGATGGGCTCGATGGCCGACGACAGGTCCGGCGGCTCTGCGCGGGAGGACCGCGTGTCTCCGAAGGGAGCAGAGGGAGGTCCCCGAACCCGCCCAGCCTCTCCCATCCCTGGCTGTCCACGCACAGCCTGCATCCCTAGGGAAACTTCTGCCCCTTCCGGTCCCCGCTACGCTCCCATGCCCACACCACCGGCATCCCTGGGGAACCTACGCCCAGCCTGCCAGCCCCGCCGCGTCCCCGGGGGCTTACCGTCATCTGGCTTGGCAGGCATGCGACACACCCGCCGGCACATGGCCACAAAGCAGCTGAAGTACTTCTCCAGACTCTCATCAGACTTCTTGTCGAGCCGGGCGAAGGCTCGGAACTGGTTCCAGTCGAACTGCTGCTTCACAGGGTCAAAAATGACCCCGAATGTGGACACCACGCGGTAAAAGTCCGCCTCCTCCCGTCTCGTCCACCTGTCAGAGAGGAGATCTTAGCTGTGGACTGGTACCTGAGTAAAAAGGCTTAAAGGTTACTACTGCTTCTCCTGTAAACTGAATCCACAGTGCTTTTTTTTTTTTTGCTTTGTTTTTTTTTTTTTTTTTTTNTTTTTTTTTTTTTTTGGGGGGGGGGGGGTGTTGGTGAGAGGGCTGGGTTTCATGGCCATCCTCTTGAATGTGATTCTTGCCTCTACAGGCCAGGAAGAGCGGAGGAGTCTAGAAAGGTACCAGGGGCTGAGGAAACCCTAAGACGCTCACTTCTGCCGCTTCTCCGATATGATGGCCTCCCTTTCGGCTTCCAGAGCCCGCACTTCCTCGCGGGGCCGCCGCCTCCGCCGGTCTGTCTTCATCAGCGCCTCCTGCCGCATCTGCTGCCGCTTGTAGCTGCGCTGGTAGGCGGTGATGAGCCTGCGCAGCCGGGTGGTCAGCGTGGAGGTGCTGGGCCAGTACAGCTGGCCTAGCTCTGTGCTGCCTTCGCCTAGCTTGCCTGGGGAGGCGGGGAGAACATTCCTGAATAAGAGAGCATTCCTGAATGTGCAGCTATGACCTTTGCCATATGCAGGGTTTCCCATCCAAACAGAATGACTTGCTAACCTGGGGAAAATAGCCTGGGAAAAATTATGGTGGTGCTCTCTTAATACTTCCCTGTAGCCCAGATGGTAAAGACTGCCTGCAATGCAGGAGACCCAGGTTCAATCTCTGGGTCAGGAAGATCCCCTGGAAAAGGTAATGGCAATCCACTCCAGTATTCCTGCCTGGAGAATCCCATGGACAGAGCAGCCTGGTGGGCTACATTCCAGTACATGGTGCCCAAAGAGTCAGACAAAACTGAGTGACTAACACTACTACTAAGGAAGTATGGAAGTTTCATATTAGTATGGAACTTATAAAGCATTCTTTCTCAACTCCTTGTGGGGGGAAAAAAGCCAAGTTCATATATCAATCACACATAAAGAAACATACTTTGTGCCACAAACTACATGGTGATAATACAATAATCTTGAACATAAAAAACAACCATATAATTGTTACCTAATGATTTTACATTAGGGAAAAAGTAGGGTAGTAGTCTCAATAAACTGGCAGTTATTTCAGATATTTAACAAATTTCCTGCTTCCATGAGCTATGTTTCTGTAGATGCTTAAGATGCTTAAAGCTTATAAAAATCAGCTTTATACTGATTTTTAATCAGTATAAATCATAAATACATAAACTGTCTTTGTTCAAAAAAGTTATTTTATCAAAGAGATTGAACATAATGATTAGCCAAGAATCAGCAGGAGTTAGAATTCTTCACAACAGAGAGCAGCAGATGAAATGGCATTTGGAGACACCACCCTGGTGAAGGAGCTGCAGCCTGGCCGTGGGGCCCGGCCTGAGTCCCACTCCTCAGCTCTGCTCCCCCCAGCTTTCAGAGTTGTACCTGGGGCGCGTATTTCCATGGGCTCTTCCTTGTCTTCTGGAGGAGAATTTGCAAATTCCTCAAAAGCAAAGCAAGAAAGACAAGTTATTTTAATTTGGGGTTCTATTTTGCTTTGTCTTTTAAAGGAAAGGCTGTTATCTATAAAGTTTAATAATAAGTCTTATATGGGCATATAATATTTTACTGGGGCCATAAAAGTGAATGTACTCGAGTTCTTACATCTATTTCATCCTTGAACGGTGTTCTGGTTGGTTTATATTCCGGGTCTTCATCTTCTCTATCAAATTCTCCCCTGTATGAAATGTTTTTAAAAAATGTTTAAATCACACTGATTAGCAAGAGACCGAAGGGAACCTGAGAAAAAGGAACAGCTCGCCTCATGCTGCTTTGAATTCTGAGCCTGACATCCAAAGCGACTCTGTCGGTATTTAAAATGTGCAGCAGTGAGGGGCGGAGGGTGTGTGTGCACGCGGTGGGGTATTGGGGGGGGGGGGGTCATGATCATTTGAAAAAGACAAGTTGCAGATTATCGAGATCCTATATTGTGTTTAAATAGTCATCATGATACATAAACAGACTATACTGGTAAACACCGCTCAATTCCAAATCAGATGCAGCATAGTGCGTGGTGCTGTGTAAGGACTGAACCCTGCCAGTGGATCTGACACTCTGACACTGACATAAAGTTTATTAAAATTTTAAAGTGTCCTTCTTACCCGTCACCGCCATCTGCTAGCATGTCTGTTCCTCTCTGCTCGGCAGCGATGGCCTTGGCGTCGGGCATGCCAACTCGTTCCAGGAAGCACAGCGCAGGGTCAGCTCGCATGGAGTTGTACTTCTCGTACCCTGCACCGTCCCCCAGCCCACAGAGGACACACACAGAGACAACGAAGGCCCCCGTCACTCACAGAACCACAGCACGGCTGCCTCGCGCCAAGTTCGGCTCTTTATGAGATGATGGTTCATGCCCTATTTAAACTAACCAGGCTGTAGTAGCCCAATTTTGGAACGCTCCTCCCAGGGCAGATATGGGGGAAGGGGAAGGCAGATTACATTTCACGGATGTTATCAGAATGACCTTAGTAAATACTAATGAAAAAACAGGTTCAGGGTAACTGCAAGATGCCCGGGAAGAGGTCTGACCCTGTTGTCCCCAAGATCTAATTTTGCTTGGCATTTAAAAGGCGGCGTAATGTTCTTCGATGACCTCTGCAGTGGTCCAGCCCACCCTCCCTGTGAGCGGCTTCAGTCCTGCAGGAAGTCCACCGCCGGCCGAGACATCCCTGTCTACGTCAGGCCAACGAACCTGTCTGATCAGGTTTAGGATGATGCGTGTCAGTAGGATGACACTGTTCCCTCTATGGTTTTCAAACTGCAATTTGCTTTTTGACTGCCCAGGTTGACTAGATGGGAAATGGCAGATCCCAACAGTGCACTGCGGGAAGATGGTTTTTGAGGCTGAGCTCACAAAACACGGCTGCAGTACACAAGCAGAACGGCACAATTCAATTAGGGTGTGTACGACAACACCCCAGCTCCTAACTGCTGTAGAGCCGCCAGCCAAACTGTAATCATGAAAGGTTTTATAAGCCATCATTCTCCCCCTGAGTCAGGCTGGGCTGCCGAGAATACCTCAGCGACCTCCAGAGACTCGGGATTATAATCAGGAATCGTTCACTGTATATATCATGCCAGTTCTGCATCCCCGGCCTTTCAAAGTTAACAAGGCTGCGTCCCACTCAGGGGAGCCGCGGGTTCTCGGCACTGACATTTGTGAAATATTGCTTGGAACAAAGCCCAGGAGGCACTTGTACAGATTAATAGCAGAGGTTAAGCCCACCGTCCACTTTGACATGGGCTGGCAGAGCGCTCGAGGGGAGCCGTGCTGGAAGCAAAGTTTCGGAAGAGCTATAGGACAACTTGGCTATTATTAAAACAAATATGGTTTGGGTTCTATTTACAGCCAAGGAAGAAATGTTTTCTTCTCAAATACTCAACAAACATTCAAAAACAGCATCTGATATTTACAGTTCATATTAGATATTTCGTGCGGGGAAACCGTAGACGCCAAGAGTCCTTTGGAACTAGCCTCATTAATATTATGACTTTGGAAAGAGTGTACAGAGAGCTCTAAATAAAGACAAAGACACATGGTCAAGACGGGGTCCGACGCAGACGCCCTACCGTGTTTGAACACGCCGATGAGCAGAGACTTGTCTGCTTCCTTATCCCACCAGTCTGTGGGGACTTCCGCGTGGAAAGGTTCAGGTATCCACACGTCAGCTTCACTGTAAAGACAACCACCGACGTGATATTTACAATAGACCCCACTGTTGGAAAAGAATGCTAAGTGAGGAGCATGCCACGCGCCCCTTCCCATGACAAGCGCCTGAGCACTGTGGAGTGGGGTGGGGATGCGGGGGCGGTGCGAGCAAAGGTTGCAGGAAAGGGTGAAAGTTGGCCGCCTTCTACTGGGACCAGAAGTGAACTTTATCACACAGGACCCTGTTTTAAAGGTCACCTCAGAACACCAGTCACTCCGTTCACACCTTTTTGTACGTCCACACAGACATACAAATAGGCTTCTCCTGATTCTCCTCAAGTCCCCAGGCTGGTAGGACAAACACTGCATTCGAGATGCAGAAAGGGAGATGCGCTGAAGGTGTAGGAGGTTTGAAGCGCACCCCGCCACCCGTGATGTGGACTCCGATCGCCCATATGGTCACGGCCAGGAGGAACCCAGGCGTGTACCCACCTGGAGTCGGCGCCCTCCAGGATCTTCTCTGCCTGGTCTCCTATCACTTCTTGTCTCAGGTAGTAGAGCATGCGGACACGCAGCAGGACCCTGGAGAGGGAGACAGGGGAGGGGGGGAGTTCTTAACTTCGGGACTGTTTGCCAACAGTGGCTTTTGGCAGCTGCTGCTGTTCATCCATCATCCTGCCAAGGCTGATTAGCCATGCTGTATGGTAGGCTTGAAGCGTGACAGATGGTGCCACATAATCACCTCTGCGTGTGCTTTCTGCTGGCTTCCAACCGGCCTGCCTGGCAACCGCGCCCCCTGCACGGGAGGGCCGGCGCTCAGCCCGGCCCGGGCGCACTTCATTTAGTCCTACCTAGCGCAGCTTGTGAAGTTTAGACACGTAGCCCACCACTGCCTCTGAAGTATTGAAGCAAGTTTGTAAACAACTGAGCAGATGGCTTTCAGTAACTGTTCTGCTTCATTATCTCATAAAATTTCCTCAGCTGCTGCCTTAATACCATTTTTGGAAGCACATCAGAAGTTGTAGGAATAAACGAGATATAAAATCTGGTTTTACTACCTGACAATAAACCCTCAATATGGAATGTCAGGTTTTCCAGATTATACAACTTTGCTTCCGAGGAAGGAAGATGGTGGTGGGGGTGGATCCTCGCCGGGCCACCCCTTAAGGGGCAGTACCCGTGTTTTACTCCTTCTAGCTTACATAACCTGGAAGTTCAAGTTGTTGCTTAACAAATGATAATACAACATCACAAAGGAGATTAAAGTGTGTCCCGTTTGCTGAAGTTCTTAGTCATTTTCAAGGAACTGGTTTTTAAAAACTCATGGAACTCTAGGAACCAGATTTTAAATCTCATGTGGATTTCCTCAATGGCGTAAAACTAATTCTTTGGATAAAGCCCACCTGGTAAACCCCCCAAGGCCTGTCTAACTCTCAAGTCTAGCATCTCCTGGACCAGCCCTGGTGTGCATTCAGGACAGACACCTGAAGACCACCACCTTGTCCATGAGTAGACAAAACCAAGTGCGATTCCCATCACACACTTGGAGAACACATCACAATCTGTGTGTCACATGTACTACCACTAGGTTCATTTGATCCTCACAGTAACTCTAGGGCAAAGTGGGACAAGTTGCGATTTCCATTTCCTAAGCTAACAGAAGACAAGTGACAGACTTCAAAGTCCCAGAGTCACTAACATGGATCACTCAGAATTAGGCCATCTGACTCCATCACTTTGTACTATCTCTAGGGATGTGGACCCTGTCCTTGAACATATCAAAATGGCAAGTAGGGGTGGCTTCACCACGACAGACCACCCCTGATCACACACAGACATCCTGTGTACCACTTGCCTCTGATCACACAGACACCCCCTGTATCACCCACCCCCGATCACACAGACACCCCCTGTATCACCCACCCCCGATCACAAAGACACCACTCTACCACCCGCCCCGATCACATACAGACATCCCATGTACCACCTGCCCAGGATCACACACAGACACCCCCTGTATCACCCACCCCCGATCACACAGACGCTCCCTCTACCACCCGCCCCGATCACATACAGACACCCCATGTACCACCTGCCCCGGATCACACACAGATATTCCCTGTATCATCCACCCTGGATCACACGCAGACACCCCCTGTATCACCTGCCTGCCTGTCCAGCATGGGGGCTGCTCCTGGCCAGCCTGGGTTCTCAACAGGCAAAACGCAAAGCCGTAAATACCTGAATGTGCTTCAAGGTAAGAGATCTTTTTGGAAAACTGGTTTTTATTGATTTCTCTCCCTGGATGAGATTAAAAATCGGCTGCGCCACACTGAACCTGCAGAAGCGAAGTGACAGTGTGGGCACGAGCGGAGTCGCAGCCCGGGTCTCCTCACAGAGACCTCAGCCAGGACGCACCCTCCACCTTTACCTGGATCTTCTCGCGCGCACCAAACCTCAGTGCAGAAGCAGCGACCCGAGCAGTTTCTCTCCCTTCAGGAGAAGACAAGGTTTTCTACCTCATGTGGAGTTTTAGTTTTGTGGATGGAGGCTTCCACGAACTATTTTAACTGTGAATGTCATCTTTCTTCTAGAAGAAACAATTCAAACTCATGTACAGGCAAGCTGAGTGGTCCTGAGGATACATGGTGGGTCCTGGATAACGAGGTGATGGAAGGTGGCCTCGGGCTAAGGAGTTTGCATGTGGTGAGTCAGGACGCCTCTCGAGTCCCCAGTGTTAATCTTCATTCCAGTGGCTGGTCCCAGAATCTAGGACCTGTTTTCTGTTTTCTGGATGAACATCCAGGTCAGGACCACATGTGTACTTAACTGTCCCACCCCTTCCATCTCTTTCAACCCAAGACAGTTCCTGTCTTTGTCTCTGTCTCTTGAAACTTTTTAAGAGGACTGGCCAGATATTTTCCAGGAGATCTCACAATTTGGGTCTTATTTTTCTGTCTGACTGCTCATCCCAGAGAGGAGGTGGAGACATGGCCAGTTCTCTTGAGACCCAGGTAAGATGTGAAGAACACGAGTTACAGCTCACGTACTAACCAGAGTGGGTGCCTGATGGAAGTCTGTGATTATGTCAGAGTGGGAAATTAAAAACCGCTGTCTCTCTGAGGCCTGGGAACAGAGCCTGCTCCCACACTAAACCCCTTCAGTTACGGTTTCTCTGAATCCAAAACTCATAAGGTTATGGACCCCAACTTCACAGAAACTGCAAAGAAATAGAAGTTTTCTAATAGCTATGGGTGGGGCGAGACTTTAGGGAGAACCACTATGCCATGACAGTAACGGTGGTTTCTGAGGTGCCAAGATGGTTTCAGGTAATGGTTTTGAAGACTCAGAAAGGAAAAACTCTGTCAGTCAAAATCTAAGAATCGTGATCAAAGGTGGTCCCTGAAAGCACCATTACATTTAAAAAGGCATGAGAACCATGAGTCAGGGCAACCCAGGAGAAGCAGGTGTTCTCCAGGAAATTATTTCACTGAGGCTTTCGGCAGCCCTGAGGGAAGGCAGGCTTCAGACATGGGCGGGGGGAGGGGTCGAGAGCAAGGGCGGCATCCCTCAAGTAGCTGAGGGGCCTTGAGTATCCGAGACTTGGTTTCCTTGTCTGGAAAAGGGGGATAAAAGAGTAAGATGACCCGTCTTAGACAATTCAAACAGAAAATCCACAGGAAGCACTTGGCGTGCTGCCAGTAATAGGTGCTCAGACTTTTGTTGCTACGACATAGAGACAGACATTTATTGAAGCTCTATTTGACAAGTAAGGAAAGTGAGTCTGAAAGAGGATGAGAAGCTTGCCCCAGGTCGCCCCAATCAGGAAGGGTGCAAGATGTGCACTGGCCGTGCTGCTGAACCCTAGATACCGAAAACACACGCTCAGAGGAGGGGAAGCATCCACAGGTGGGGGTGCTGGCTCAATGTGTCAGCCGCTCACAGAGCTCCGAGCAATGAAATTAATTCAGGTCCAGTTCCCTTCAGTTATATATAATCAGGTTCTGGAAATAAAGGTGAGGAAAGGGATTCCAAAGCTCACAGGTAAGAAAAAATGGACACAACAACCGAGGAGTCGTGTGTGTGTGCCTGCGGGTGCGTACATGTGCTAAGTCACTTCAGTCGTGTCTGACTCTTCATGAACCTATGGACTGTAGTCCACCAGGCACCTCTGTTCATGGCGTCACAAAGCAAAAATATCATCTAAACTCCCCAGCCCCTTCATGGGAAGCAGTCAGTTAAAGGCAGGATTATATAAAGCTAACCACAATTCTCTAAACACACTGACTAAAACTCAGTTATCCACATGTCCACAGCACCCTCATTCACAACAGCCAAAGACATCCGTTAACCCAAGTGCCCATCAATGGATGGATGAACAAAATGTGGTCTATACACACAATGGAGTATTACACAGCCGTAAAAGGGAACACGCTTCTAACAGAAGCTACAACATGGATGAACCTTGAAAATATTAAGTTCAGTAAAATAAACCAGCTACAACAAGGCATAGTCTACAGCAAGATGCCTAGAATAAGCCAATTCTTAGAGACAGACGGTAGGACGGTACTGTCAAGTGCCAAGGGCAGGAAGATGAGTAATCATTTAATAGGAACAGAGGTTATATTAAGGTCCATGAAAAGGCTTGGGGTCTAGACAGTGGTGATGGGCACACAGCAATCTGAATATAATTATTCCCAATGAACTGTATACTTACAAATAGTTGAAGTAGTAAAATTGTGTTTATGCATCTTTACTACTGTCCTCCCCTCACCCAAAAATCAGTCCTCTAAAGGTAGGCTTCCACGTGACACGTTCCATCATGTTTCAAGAAAAAAAAAAACAGTAAAGCTGCACCATGAAAGTGTACTAGTCTTCCTGATAGCTATCCAGTGTATACACATACTTGAGTACACGTACATTTAAGAACCAGAAGGGCTGCCCGCTCCCCGCACCCGCCCTCCCTGACGTACTTGTTGCAGTGGTGCTGCAGGTGCTTCTTGTAACTGTCCTCCTGGAACAAGGCATCCGGGTTGCAGCCAGCCAGCCAGTCGGCATCCTGCACCACTGGGTGTGAGCTCTGGGCTTTCACCTTCTTGCCCTTCCTCCCCCTGGGCACCGGGGCTGACAAACCTAAAACCGGAGTAGTCATGATGATAACAACAATAGATACTATCCACGACCCCAGTGGCTATGTCAGGGTCACGCAGGGTCTGGGGCTCCTCCTGAGCTCCCCGGAGGCTCCTGGGACCCCAAGCGTGAGGTGCAGACCCACCAGAATGGTTGACCAGGGCCCGCGTCTGGCCATCAGCCGTGGGTGTGATGAGATCCCAGATGAAGCTCTTGATGTTCTCGTCCCCCCGGTAGTGGTTGAGGCAGTACACAAGGATGGTCCTGCAGATGGTCTCCACGTCCTGCTCGCTGAGCGGGCGCTTGTAGCGGCCATGGGAGAGGATGTCCGTCCACCGCCCCCAGCTGCAAGGCAAACGTCCACATGTGGACAGTGCCTCTGACCTGAGACCTGGGGCTCTGGTTTCAGAGGCAAGCGGCAGCTTTAGGAGGGCTTGTGTCAAAACTAGTGACATCAACATCAGGCGATGGGAAAGCAGTCCAGGTGCAGGAGCTAAACACACAGACACACACAGCCTCAGGGTGGGAGCTGACACCCGCATTCCCAGCAGGGACCTGAAAACCCTCCGCTCCACTCTTCGAGGGCGTGGTTCCCATGATCTGATGCTGACCCACCATCTGAGATGGAAGGTGACAAGAGGCAGGTGTGACCACCCCCACATCAGGAAGCTCGTGACTGAGGGTGCGGCTGCAGAAGCAGCTGAGCATCTCCCGATACCCAGACGTGAGGTGGTCTGCTGGCTCGCATCAGACCCTCGGCCCAGAGTGAGGAAGATTAACGACCAACCACACAGGAAGTTATTAGAAGCATCATTCATTAGAAGCATCATCCATCAACTTGAAGAAAAAAGTTGTATGTGATTTTCATTTTGGTAAGGTGCTGTGTCATGTGTTAAAAGGAAATTATAAGGACACATCAATAATTAATGGAAAGCCACGAAATGTCTCCCTCTGAACCTAAGTCCCAAATATAAGCACTTATGGGTTCCCCTGTGAAACAGGGAGAGAAAGGGCCGTGGACAGGCCCCCACACACAGCCCACAGGCAAGTGCCACGTGAGCACACCTTCCCTGGGCTCCAGGTGCTCAGGGCAGAAAACAGCTCACCAGGGGCTCCGCCTCTGCCCCACCTGGTCCTCTAGCTTCCAGATTTGCTCTCCCAGTTCCTCAAACTGCAAGGCTGGCTCTAGCCTTTGGGCCTTTGGACACACAGCTCTTCCTGCCAGAAACTCTCTTCTCCCTGTCCAACACCCCGCCCTTCCTCCTACCTCAGCTAATTCAAGATGTTTGTTCATGCCGCCTCTGTGGAATGCCTTCTTTGATTCCCCCACTTAGAAGTAGGAAACAGCGCCTGAGCTGCCTCTTGAAGGAGAGAAGACCTGTCTGCCAGGGTGGGGGTGGGGGTGCATGACCATACTGCTCATGGTCATATGGTAGCACAGTGCCTCGAACATGGTAGGTGGTCAGCACACGTGATGCCTAGGGCAGGAGGGAAGGGCTTTACAGAAAGACAGATAAGCATACTTTCCAGCTTCGGCAGCGATTAACATGCTCTGTTGCTAAAGTCAGCAGCAAAATTCTCAACTTTGACTACTTAGATTGAATTATGGAAACAGGTGAAGTAGCAAAGGGCTCAGGTGGAGGGTCTCTGCCACATAAAGATGGCCAGGAGAGAACTGCCAGAGTGTGGAGATGACGCAGAGAGGGGACCCAGCTGCAAAGACACGGGATGGGCTGCAGTAGACCTGCCTTTACTGTGTAAGCAACCACTGACCCAACACGCACTGTGTCTGCTGGCACTGCAACTCTGCCCCGAGGACAAAGAAGGAGCCCCAGGCCTCAAGGAGCCCTTCGCTGGGGCTCCAGCAGGAAGCAACCATTAAGAGCCATCACCCGACCAGCTGAGTGTGATAGCACGTGCAGGAGACCCTTATGGGCGGGAAGTGGGGCAGGATGCTGAGGTGATGCCTGCTAGGAGGTCAAGTGCCGGAGGTGGTAGGCAGATCAAGTCTGGGCTGGGGGAGTGGGGGCAGGGCTGCCTGTGGAAACAGTACACAGCAGAAGGTGAAGGGTCTGTCCTAAGAGCAACCCTGAGTGCCCGTGGGAAGGGCCCACAGGACAGACAAGGGCCAGGTAAGATCCCTGTCGGCCACATTAGCAGCATGTCTGTGTTTCTTCTGAAACTAATGATGATCTATTGGAAGAAAGAAATCACAGAGCAGAAGTCATCAGGTCTATAGAAACACTGTTTTGGTGGCGGGTTTTTCATTTGGGGATTCCCTGGTGGCTCAGAGGTTAAAGCATCTGCTTGCAATGCCGGAGACCCAGGTTTGAACCCTAGGTCAGGAAGATCCCCTGGAGAAGGAAATGGCAACCCACTCCAGTATTCTTGCCTGGAGAATCCCATGGACAGAGGAGCCTGGTAGGCTACAGTCCACTGGGTCGCAAAGAGTCGGACACGACTGAGCGACTTCACTTTCACTTTCCATTTGAGCAGTATTTGCTTCCAGTCCCACCAGGTGCGAGAGCATATTGTTTAGGAATTCTGATTTGTGCCAAGCACCCTGTCTTTCGAAGCCCTGTGCCATGGAGTTTCAGAGGTGGATTCAATGTGGATCCTGCGGTTGAGCAGGGGAAATATGACCTGTTCAGATGGTTGAAATGACCTCCACGTTTCAGATGGGTAGGAAGAGCTTTATAAGTGAGACCACTGCCTTTAACAAATTTTTATAACAGAAACATGATGAAAGAGTACCAAAAATGATGAAAGAGTGGTAATTTTAGGTGAAGGAACACTAGAAAAAGACTTTGTAATTCTGAGACTTCATTCTGAGTTATTAGTGATCAGCAAGTGAATCTGACATGATTCCTTAAAGGACAAACCCCTTCAAATCTCTGAGGATCTGCACAGCTTTGAGTTCTTTAACCACTTGGGTTGTGCCAAAAGCATTTGTGCCCTGGGCAGTCACAGAAACCCAAACATAAATTAGAGTTTTTCCTACACCACTTGGAATTCTAACCGTTTTTTGAATGAAATTCCACTTCTCACGTGAGCTTGACTCACCCATAGACGAGCAGGTTCTTCTCAACTCGGAAGCACTCGCTCCTGGCGTAGCCCTGGGACCTGTCTGGGGGCCGCCGCGGCTTTGTGCAGGGCTTCTCCTCCGAGTCACTCTCCAGGTCTGAAAATTCCATCAGCTCGTCCTCCTTCACCGCACTGTACAGCCTGGTTTGCTTCCTCACTCTTGGAGTGTCAATAACCAGGTTGTTCTGAAAGACAGCAGATACTCTGAAACTTCTGAAAAGCAAGCCCTGGGAGAGGTCAGACAGGCAGTCAACATGACGGCACACTCACCCTCCCGTTTAAGGCATCGATATCCAATTCTGCCTTCTTCGCCCACTTTTGCCAGAAATTTGGATCATCCAAGGAAATATCTGTCCTATTTCCAGATGCAACAAAACTGGCCTAAAGGGGGAAAACATATTCATTACTTTGCGATGGTTTTCTCAGAGGTGAAACACAAAGCAGTTTTCACTCACTCATTCTTGCAAACACAAGGCATCCTTCCACTGTGTGTGTGCCAGGTGTTATGGTCAGTGGGACTGGGACGAAGGACTGTCCCTTAGGCAGCTCACTGTCCAGGGGTTGAGACAGATCAGGAAATAAAAGATCACAGCGCAGTCTAATAGATGTCAGGTGACAGAGGTATGTACAGGTGCAGCCAATATACAGAGGGGAGCCCTGGCCAGGCTTAGGTGAGCTGGGGGTTCCTGCTGGGAAGAGAGAATATGCCCTCCAGAACACAGTGCCCAAACAAGCCTGCTAAAATCCCACAGAACAGGGCTTCCCTGGAGGCCCAGTGGTTAAGAATCCACCTTGCAATGCAGGGGATACTGGTTTGACCCCTGGTCCACAGAGATTCCACATACCAAGGGGGCAACGAGCCCTCTGCCCCACAACTACTGAGCCTGTGCTCTGGAGCCCAGAAGCTGCAACTGCTGAGACTCTGAGTCACAACTATTGAAGCCTGTGTGCCTAGAGCCGGTGGTCCGTAACAAGAGAAGCCACCACAATGAGAAGCCTGAGCACCGCAACTGGAGAGTAGCCCCTGCTCGCTGCAACTAGAGGAAGTACACACACAGCAGCGAAGGCCCAGCACAGCCAAACACTAATTACCTTAAAAAAAAACCACAGAGCAGGAAAGCAAGTGGAAATGTTCAGGATGGAGCATGTGCAAAGGCACAGGGGGGAAGAAAGGTGACTGTGTCATGTAGCCAGGGATTCGAGTGGTCAGGGGGTGTTGCCCAAGGTCAAGCTGGTGAGGCAGGCAGAGGCCGGGGCCAGCAGGGCCTCGTGTGTCCTGTTAGCAGAGTCCAAACCCCATCCTCAGGCAGCAGGGAATTCTTTGAAAACGGGAATAATCTTGAGAGGGATGAGACCATATGCAAAGTCACCTGTCAGAGGGACCATACCAGGTCCTGGAGCAGGGGCAGGGTGGGGGGAGTGTAGAACAGAGCAGAACAGGCTGCGGCCAGGGTTTAGGGAGGAGATGGGGAAGGTCTGCAGAAATGCAGAGAAGGAGACAGGCTAGAAGGTAGTCTTGCAAAGGTAAAATTAAAGGAGCTAGAATGTGAGGGCATGTAAAGCCTGAAGGAGGAGGAAGCCATGAAAACCCCAGCATTCAATTTCTGGCATCTGAGAGGTGTGACTCAGGTGAAGAAATCAAGGGTGCGCGTGTGTATGTGCACGTGCATACAGGCATGCACAGAGGTGGAGGAACAGAGATAATGAACCTGTTTTGGTACTGAATGAATTTGAAGTATCCATGAGGATGGAGGAAAGAACCTGAAAAGAGCATGAAAGATAAGAGGGAGAAAGTGTTGGGTCACTGAGCCCAGACAAGAAGAACCTTTCAAGACTGGAGTAGCTATAAGAAGTGGATCAGCTGTGACAAGTGGAGCAGGTGGGACAAGTGCAGTAGCTGGGATAACTGGATATGGATAACTGGATATCCATGTGCAAAAGAAGGGAGCTGGACCTCTGTCTCACATCGCACACAAAAATTCACTCAAAAAGGCATCGGAGACATAAAAGTTAAGAGTGAAAAATATAAAACTCTTAGAAGAACACACAGGAGCAAACCTTTGCGATCATAGGTTAAACAATGGATCCGAAGCACACATGATAAGAGAAAAACACGGGTAACCTGGGCTTCTTAAAATTAAACACCATTAAGAAAGGACTAAGAGATATATATGCAAATTATCTAATGAGAAATTTTTATTTGGAATACTTAAACTCAATTAAAAAAAAAGTAACTAAAAAAGGTTTAAAGCTGTTCAGAAGATCTGAAGAGACATCTCCCCAAAGATGATATATATCAATACTTGGCCAACAAGCACACGAATAGACACTAAATAGTATCAGAGAAAAGCAGATCAAACCAGCGTGGGCTATCACGTTGCACTCGGTAATAGGGTGATCATTAAAAAAGACAGACAATAAAAAGTGTTGGTGAGGATGTGGACAAATTAAAACCCTAACCACTGCTGGTGGGAAGGGCAAATGGTACAGTCACTTTATAGAAGAGTCTGGCAGTTCCTCAAAGGGTTAGTCTCAGAGTTACACAAGACCCAGCAATTCCATTCCTGGTATATAAGCAAGCGAAATGAAAACATACGTCCACACAAAAACTTGTATACAAATGTTTGTAACATCATTCATAATAACCAAAAAATGGAAAACAATCTAAATTTCAGCACCAGCTAGTGAATGGGTCAACAGTCAAGGTCCATATTCAAGCGGTAAATAAGGTAGAGCCATAGAATGGGATGTGGTTCAGCAATAAAAGGAAAGAAATTAGTGATAACATGCTACAACATGGATGAGGCCCCAAAACAGGCTAAGGGAGTGAGGCCAGACACAAAAGGCCACATGTTGTATGATTCCATTTATATGAACTGTCCAGAGTGTGCAAACCTAGAGAGACAGAAAGCAGAGGAGTGGTTGCTGGGACTTAGGTGGGGAGGGGATGGGAAGAGGGGGGTGGGGGGAGGATTGCTAAAGGGTGATGGAAATGTTCTAGCCTTAGATGTTGGGATACTTGTACATGTCGATAAATATGGTAAAGGTGCGGGATGGTACACTTAAAATAGGTGGTTTTTATGGTAAGTAAATTACATTTCCATAAAGTTGTTCAAAATGAAACTGCAAAGTGTGGCACCGGGCCTGGAGGTGGGTGGGTGAAGCCTCAAAAGGGGCAGGGTGGGGGGGAGCAGTAGAAGCTGATGTTGGGAAATGAGTAGAGAGTAAGACAGTGGAACAGCAGAGTCAATAATGCTGTGTGGATTGCTGGTGTGGTTTTCAGCTCGAAAAGGAGTTATGGGGTTGCAGCCAGAGAGGAAAGCAGATAGGGGACTTTTTCAAGACAGGAGTGAGATGATTGTTCTCAAGCCTTGATCAGGAATCAAGATCCCAGGAAAGGAGGAAGGTGATGACAAAGCAGAGGCTCAAGAAGTGGAAGGGAGGGAGGCCAGGACACAGAAAGAGGGCAAGCCTGGGGAGCCCGGAAGCAGGGACGGGACAGGTGAGGGTGACCCTGATGCCAGATACACAGAACATAGAGCACATTTTCTGTGTTGGGGGCCCCCCTGGGATTAAATCACTAATTTTTTAACACGCAACATAAAGCAGCTGTTATGTGTGCTTCTCACGAGCGCATTACACAGCCTGTTTCGCTTCCCCAGAAGTCCTGCCTCCTGGGTAGGTCCGCACCTTAGCAAACGTGGAGCCCTTGCCCTCGGACTCGATGGTGATGGTGTGGGTCCGCCGCAGCAGGATCTGGTCGATGTCTTCTTCACAGAACTTGGAGCCCTCGTCCTCCTCATCCATGAGCGCACCGTAGGCCCCCTTCCGGAGAAGATCCTCTATTTCTTTCTTGGAAAGTTGTTGTACCTGTGTTAGAGAAGTATTTCAAATGATTTAGATAAAGGAAACCGACCCTGAATATTCATTGGAAGGACTGAGGATGAAGTTGAAGCTCCAATACTTTGGCCACCTGATGTGAAAAGCCAACTTACTGGAAAAGACCCTGATGCTGGGGAAGACTGAAAGCAGAAGGAGAAGGGGATGACAAAGGATGAGACAATTGGATAGCATCACTGACTTGCAAACTCCGGGAGATGGTGAAGGACAGGGAAGCCTGGCGGGCTGCAGTTCATGGGGTTGCAAAGAGTCAGACACAACTGAGCTACTGAACAATAACAAAGAACTGAAATGTCTGGAGACTGAACAAATGCTTACTTTTTTCTCCAAGACAGTAAACCTCAATTATGACGAAGTAAATGTGACCAAATATGCTTAAAATATTGAGGCCAAAAAATAACCAGATGCAGAGGATTTCTCACTGGGAGCTAAAAGAAGCAAGAGGCAGGAGTGCAGCGAGCAGGGTGAAGGCGGCACAGCTTACCCCATTGGGAGCATTCTCCCGTCCACTCATGGACTGCAGGACTGCCTTGTCCAGACCCAGCTTCAGGCTGGCCTTGTCAAACATTTCCCTTTCGTAAGAATTCCTGGTGATCAGCCTGTATATCTTCACAGATTTGCTCTGTCCTATTCTGTGACATCTAGCTTGAGCCTGAAAGAAAAAGGAACTGCATGGCCACCAGAGAAACAGAATACCCTGCTGCCAGTTACAAGAGCATCTGTTCTGATAATAGGGGTACCATTCAACAGTGGAGGGTTAACACGCTAAGAAATGACTTTCACATTATCAATCAATTGATTACTGGTTGGTTCATTTGCCCTGATCATGGGACACTGCCTGAGCGACGGCAGGATTTCAATTTATTGGTCCGATGTAGCGCAACGACTTTCCAAAGTGGGGGAGGGGGGCACCAGGAAGGTTTTCTTGCATGTTTACCTGGAGGTCATTTTGGGGATTCCAGTCAGAATCGAAGATGATGCAGGTGTCAGCAGCAGTGAGATTAATGCCTAAGCCTCCTGCCCTCGTACACAGGAGGAACACAAACCTATCGGAGTCAGGCTTGGAGAACCTGTCGATAGCTGCCTGACGGAGGTTGCCTCTGACCCGGCCGTCGATCCTCTCATAGGGGTACCTGGAAGACGCCAGTGTCAACAAGGAGGCCTGGCAGACGGCCTCGGGACATGTGTTCCTTCCCTGGTGCTTTTAAGAACGCACTACAACATGGGGTGTAACTCAACAGGGTGGGGCTTCCCTCAGGGCGCAGTGGTAAAGAATCTGCCTGCAATGTAGGAGACACAAGAGACTTGGGTGCAATCCCTGAGTTGGGAAGATCCTCTGGGGAAGGAAATGGCAACCCACTCCAGTATTCTTGCCTGAGAAATCCCCTGGACAGAGGAGTCTGACAGGTTATAGTCCACGGGGGTCACAAAAGTGTCAGATGCTACTTCAACATCAAGAAAGAGCTGTCCCCCACCAGCCCAGAGAAAGAAATGGAAAAGCAGAACTGCCTGCAAAAGCATGCATCACATGGGGCAACTGTCACGGCCATCCACAGCTTTCAAGAAGAGCTAAGACACAAGCCCCGCACCCATCCCCTTTATCATACAGGCCACTTGGAGGTGAAGCGCGTGGAGCTCAGTCCTGCCCCTCCACCTCCCACCCCCGGTGCGTGGCCCTCACCGTCTCTGAATGAGGTAGTCCTCCAGGATGTCCAGGCAGCGCACCATCTGGGAGAAAATGAGCACCCTGTGGCCACCGGCCTTCAGCTTCGGCAGCAGCTTGTCAATCAGCACTAGCTTGCCAGCAGCCTGGATCATCGCCTGGAGCTGAAAATCTGGAGAGTCGGCATTGTGTGTTTCTTTAAACTCTTCCAAAATTTTCTCTTCAGCACCTGCGGAGATTGGACAGCATAACGGGAATACTGTAAAAGGTTTTTTTCTTTTATTACCGAAAACAACGAACCTGCTTTCAAAACCCACTGCAAACAGCAGGGCCCAGAACAATGCATTTGTGTTCACGAACACACATCCATCCACCGGCTCAGAGTGGGGTCTGCAGGAAACCAGGGAGGTAGAAAAGGGATCAGAGTTTTAAGCACGACACATTTTCAAGCGTTTGGGGGGAACCCCCACATTTTCCAACAAACAAATGTTTGCTGTCTGTAGAAACTGAATTTCAACAACAGACTGTCAAGCTAGAAGTGGCAGAAACAAGCCAAGGGCCGGATACCTACAGAAAATTTGGAACCTAAAATGCTAAAGAAATGAAGAGCTGTTTACTCGCGGAACATAAACACACATAACAAAATCTGTTCTGAAACTAAAAGGCGAGGGAACAGAGTTCTAACAATTGCCGTGCAGGGGCAGTCGTCTGTGTATCTAAACTGCCTGTTAATATGGCCAAACGGGCTGCAGCAAAAGGCAGTCTCGCTTCGGGGATAATACTTAGAGATTTTTTTTCAGGAGATCTGAGCACACATTTTCACTGCAATCTCTCCATCTCCCTCTACATTCATTCTCATCTGATAATTTCCTAAAGTACAAAAGTTTTATCTTGAGTTATCCAAAGCTTTAAACAACCAACCTCTGTTTCAGGAAAGACATCGATCCCTAACCCTCTTTTCTAATAGCCCCACAGAAACTTCTGCTTGCTGAGGGTGCATCAGAGAGACTATCACCTTCCTAGGGACCAAAAGTCTTCCCACCTCCGCCCCTGACCCCAGACACACTTGTCCAGGGAGTAGCTGGCTAAGCTTCCTGCAGCTGCTTAGGTGGCTTAACTAGAATTAGGCAGCAGGGGTCTGGGATGGAGGGGGAGGTTAATCAGGGCCCGGCCACTGTGCTCCACCCGTGTCCTGGGGATGCAGCGTGGTCACTTCTCCTCTGGGAAATACAGACAGACAAATCCATCTGATGGGATTATTTCCCAGCCTTAAACCGCACCAGGAACTTGACTTCTTAACCACTGGTTTTTAAACATGAAGGCACTGTACACAGGATGGGGATACGAGACCCTGCCAGGGTTTAAGGGTCAGGTCACCTGGGCCCCCAGAGCTGCCAGGACAGAATGGAGGCATGCAGCCACAAGCGGGACAGCAGTGCCCCTGCTTCCCTTTTCAGAGCACCTGTGGAAATGAAGTCATGACCTGGTCATATGCAGAAACACAGCCTGTTCGTTATTAATCAACGAAGAATCTTCCTGAGACCAGATTAAGTCACTAATGCCTGGGCTGGGCCCAGAGGTCTGTGCAGAGCAAGCCACTGCTGTTTCTCAGGAAGGGCCAGGCAGAAAATGCCAGCGGGGTGGGAACTGCCGCTTCTCACTCCTTCTCCCACGTGAATAAAAGGCTAGTATTCGGGATTTCAATCTGAAGGGAATGAAAGGCAAAGGTTTCTCTAGGAAAAGGTGAAAACCAAACCGCTGTTGAAGAGCATCAGCACGAACATCCCTGAATGAAGCACACTCTTGAGTAAATGTCCTTGCATCCTACAGGTGTGCTAAGTCGCTTCAGTCGTGTCCGACTTTTTGTGGCTCCATGGACTGTAGCCCACCAGGCCCCTCTGTCCATGGGGTTCTCCAGGCAAGAATACTGGAGTGGGTGGCCATTTCCATCTCCAGGGGATCTTCCTGACCCAGGGATCGAACCTGCATCTGTTATACCTCCTGTGTTGGCAAGCGAGTTCTTCACCAAATGCCCTTGTATAAAGCCAAATAATGTTTTCCAAAACAGAAAATTTAGAAATCTAGGTTCTAGATTCAGGACAAGAAGGTCCTCAGGAGACAGGGGGAACTGATCATATCCACATATTAGGTTTCTTCAAAACGTTTCTTCTTGTTGGATAATATACTACAAGCAATTCAGAAACACACTTCACTTATAATATCTGGGTAGTTATTTTTTGTTAAAATAAAGATATTAATACCAATCCATAATCAAAATATACCATTTTAGCTATTTTAGTGAATAGTTTTCAAAAAGTAAATAATCATTTTGACAAAATTAACATGTTTGAACTATTTTAGCAAAAAATTTGAAAATATAAATTCAGTCAAATTAGTAAATTTTTTTCATTTTAAATTTATTTAGATGAGAAAAGTAACTTTCCTGCTTTTTCAATTCTACCAATAATACATCATCAAAAACTGTCAGAATTAAAATATATTCTTTCTTATCTGACAAAAGTTCTAACAATTAATTCAGCTCTTTGCTGTGAATTCAGGCTCTTAAAGTGGCAGCCAGTTGTCACTAATAATGCTTCCTTTAAATATATCAGCAAACATATTTCCTATGTGATGCTTTTAGCTATAATTATATTTTGTCCGGGCTTCCCCGGTTGCTCAGCAGTCAAGAATCTGCCAGCAATGCAAATCATATAAGACATGCGGGTTCTATTCCTGGGTTGGGAAGATCCCCTGGAGGAGGGAATGGCTACCCACTGCAGTATCCTTGTGTGGAAAATACCATGGACAGAGGAGCCTGGCAGGCTACAGTCCATGGGGTCACAGAGAGCTGGACACAACGGAAGTGACTGAGCACATATTTTCCAGAAAAGTTGAAGAAAGGAGGGCAGGGAAGGTGTCCAGGAGGAAAACCAAACTGACCTCTAAGCCATTAGAAGGCCAAATTCTCAAGGTTATCAACTAAAGGTTCACCTTGATGCTAAATCTGTAAACACCAATCAGAAAATTAAAAATTGGAAACAGGCTATAAAAAGCCCAAATACTCCAACAGTGTTAGTCACTCAGTCGTATGCAGCTCTCTGTGACCCCGTGGACTGTAGCCCACCAGGCTCCTCTGTCCATAGGATTTCCCAGGCAAGAACACTGGAGTGGCTTGCCATTTCCTTTTCCAGGGGATCTTCCCAATCCAGGGATCGAACCTGGGTCTCCAGCATTGCAGGCAGACTCTTTACCGACTGAGCCACCAGGGGAGCCCAAAAAATACTCCAATGGCACTGCCCTAAACTAAAGTCCTGCATCTATATTTAAAAGTGTGTTTGTGCACACGCCTGTTTGTGTGTAGCAGAGACAACTTCAAGGAAGCGTAGACGTCTGGTCCCTTACGCGGATGGTCACTGTGAGGGCAGGAGCTGCACTGTTATCTAGTCATACTAGCCGCAAACAAATAAGGAATTATTTTCTTTTGAAGATTACCCTTTTTCTCTCTGAAATTCACTCCATCACAAGCTCAGTCTTGAATTCTTTCTGCCCACTGCTCTCCACACCCCTTCTCCCCAACAACAAGGAGGACTCGTAAGTCCACCCAAGCCATCAGGGACCCACCAAGTCCCCAACATCATTTTCACTCTCACATGCACATGCATGCTCAGTCGCTTCAGTCACGTCTGACGCCTGCAACCCCGTGGGCCAGAGTCTGCCAGGCTCCTCAGTCCATGAGATTCTCCAGGCCAGAATACTGGAATGGAGCCTCTTGGAGGCTACTGCTCCTCTTTTCACAGACATCAAATGAAAAAAAAATGTGTGTCTCTCTCTCAGATTACACACACACACACACACACACGCACGCACACACAGCTTTACTCACACCATCGACTACCTTCGACCCAGCTCCATTTCCCCAGCTCAGGACCGGGCTGCAGACACAATGGTCTCACAGGCTCTTACACACATGAGGATGAGCAAGCCGCAGCACTGAACATACAACGGTCATGTGTGAGTCTCTCTTTGGAAGACCAAGCTACAAGCAGAAAGTTTGAAGCAGAAATGCGCCAAGGTCACAGCACAGCCATGACCTCAGGTGCTACGGTGAGGCGGCTCCAGGCAGGGACCACTCTGTCATTAGTAAATGCAGATTCCAGAGGTGAGCTGGCCTAAGGAGTATACATTACAAAATGGGGAGAGACTGGGAACTCCTGACATCAGCTGCATTTGAACCTCATGGATTGTGATAGTGACCAAAAAAAATCTGGCTTGGTTCCTTCTGCCCTGGAAAGAACCCTAACTGCATTGCTGGCCAATCATAATTGCATGCAAACACCCCTGATTTAGAAGGCCATCACTTCTCTTTAACCCATATTAACTCCCACCTGGATGACAGCAGTAACCTCCTAGTGGGGCTTTCTGTTTGTATGTCTTTCCCTACTCCCATCTGTTTATTTATATGACGTTTCCAGATCAATCATCCTGACTCCCATGTCTAATCATTTCTTAGCTCCAGCAAAATCGCACAAGCTGGCATCTAGGCATCCCATAACAAGGTTTCACTATGTCTAGGGTTCACTGTCCCATTGTTTCACACACATACTTTATATCCTGGGCAGCTTCCACTTTGTTCTGCCTCCTTCTCTTGTCTCATGTGGTTACATCAGCCTAAATGCTGAGAATGGATGCTGGAGGCCTCCAAACTGAGAGTTCTTTTCCATTAAAGCCCTGAGACATCCAACAGCTGCCTCTCACCCCAAAGGCGCTCTTTAACTTCTCTGATCTAAACACACACCCACACCCACACACACCCACCCACCCACCCACTGGGGGCTAATTTCTCTGTTAGTATGTTTGATGACTTCCAGTCAGTGAACACCGACACCTTTCAAGGGGTGAGACACAGATGCAGGACAGGTGATGTGAGGTCCTGCTTCAGGGACCATCAGGGACAAAGATGTTGCACCTGTGGCTTCACAGAACGAGGCTTTGTGAAGAACAGGAAGGTGATGAAACTCACATTGGGGCAACTACAAACCATACAATAACACGTGTGGAGGGAGGCAAGGATTTCTGGGGTTTTGACAATGACTGAAACAAGGCGCCAGGCTTACCGTTGATAAGGTAGGGGTGATTGCAGCACTTCCGTAATTCCATCATAGTGTTTAAAAGGTTGGGTACGTTAGCTTGACCACCACCTTTGGAAAGAAACGTGAAATTCTTCTCAAGGATGGCTCGGTAATATTTCTTCTGAATGTTTGTTAGCTCCACTTCAATGATCGTTTCTTCTTTGGGGGCCAAGTTCTTTTCCACGTCCTCCTTGAGACGTCTCAACATCATTGGCTTTAGAATAGCCTGAAGCTTTTGCACCTAAAAAAGGACCTTAAGTAAATACTGGTGTTGGGACTTGCTAGCATGGTAAAACATAGTCTAACATGAAAAACCAGGAGTCTCTTATTTATCTACCCTTCACTTTCGTTTGTCGAAGGGTACGAGGGCATTATCTTACAGCTCTCAGAACAGGAGCGCGTGAGAGTTGACTGTTCAGTTTCTGATGGGCTAGTTCACCTGGCCAGAGTCCTGAACAGCCAGGAGGCTTGAACGGAACACAGCTGAAAAGAACCCTATTCATTCTGTTAGTTTTTCCTTCTGTTTGTCTTAAGCCTTCGGGATGATAAGGAAGGGAGGGAGAAGTTGTAGGAATGACAAGCTTCAGTTCTCTTCCTTTCTAGAAAGAGCTGATAGAATGTGTGAGTAAGCCAAGAGCTCCCTGGTCCCTCTCTGTTCTCGCCTCTGTTGACTGGCAATAGGATACTGCAGACCAGACAGCTCTGATTTATATTAAGAAGGGCAAAACAAAACAGACTTCACTTGAACTAAGAGAAGAGGTTTCAGACAGTAAATTAGGGGAGGGGGCACATGAAGACCAAGATTTCAAGTGTATCTCCATGTTTATTTCAAATATAGCTTAATAACCAACACCTACGTAACTCTCACGATGCATAAGATAACTGGCCACTTTTCATGCTGCTGCTAAGTCACTTCAGTTGTGTCCAACTCTGTGCGACCCCATAGATGGCAGCCCACCAGGCTCCACCATCCCTGGGATTCTCCAGGCAAGAACACTGGAGTGGGTTGCCATTTCCTTCTCCAGTGCACAAAAGTGAAAAGTGAAAGTGACGTTGCTCAGTCATGTCCCACTCTTCGCGACCCCATGGACTGCAGTCCACTAGACTCTGCCGTCCACGGGATTTTCCAGGCAAGAGTACTGGAGTGGGTTGCCACTGCCTTCACTGGTCACTTTTCATACCCAATACCATATTTATTTCTCATAGAAATCCTGCAAGGTAGTTAGAAACCATGCTTCTAAATGAAAATATGTAGACTCAAGAAGAGTATAAGCAATGTGAGCAAGCAGGAACTAAGACTAGAACTTCAGATCTCCAGGAAGGACACAGCTTGAGAAATTTCAGCCGCTCCTGACATTACCGCCAAAAGCACACAATGCAAAACCACTGAACTCGACAGGACAGCAGCTGAAAAGTACGTGAACAGGTATGGAAACTCTGTAAATCCCAACAGCCCTTCGGGAGGGCAGAGAGACCAACGAACCAGCCAGAACATCACCTTAATGAAGACTCAGAACATCCAAGGAAAGGAGGTGTAAAGCTCACTTGTCTACTAGGTGGGGGAAAATTGACATAATTTACATTTTTTTAAATAGTTAGATCCTAATGCTTTGGCCCTTTGGGAGTTAATCCTCAATTCAATGACTGAAATACAAAAGGAGCCATGGTAGGTACCTGCTCTTCGGTTTTCAGATCACCAAATTCTTGCATAAAGGTGGTTTCCGAAGGGAAGCGAGTAGGTTCTAAGAAGTGAAGCAAGCTGAAGAGCTCTTCCACCGTGTTCTGGAGCGGGGTCCCCGTCAGCAGCACTTTGTGTTCCTATGGGGATTCGAGGATAACTGAGCAAATCATAACAAAAACCATCGCCATGCCAAAGCCTCTCTCGGGATCATCATTCCCCCAATTCCACACTTGGTCGCTGAAATTCAGCATCCACCCAGCATAAAACACAGGAATAAGATCCAAAGGCAAAGATACAAGAAATGTGGTCTCTGTCTTAGATTCCAAGACCCTGTAAACGTGGTCTGATATTTTGGTTTTTCCTGAGATGTTTAGGTCAATGTTTTGGTGGTGTGGCTCTGCATGTCTCCTATGTCTCGTGGCATCTTTTCCCACCAAAGTTCAAGTTTTGCCTAAGATTCCTAGCTCAGATGAAGCTCACGTGCTCCTTTTCTGCTCTTTACAGGGCTATGCCCTCCCCATCTGCTTCCTGCATGACTCACTTCAGAGACAAAAGAAGGTTTTCTACAGGCAACAGCACATGAAAAACTATTTTGTTCAGCAAACATTTCAATCTAGCAAAGAGGTCAGCTTGGTTTTAAATGCCACAATCATGTTTCTGTTTTTTGTTTTTTTTAATAGATGCTATTTCTTACTTTGTCTCCTTGAACCAAGGTAGGTATTTTCTTTACAGCACTTCTTCCTGTTAACGAGCTCTTTCTTCAGCTTTCTTTATGGATCCGTACCTTTGTCTTCTTATTTCTACGTATCCAACATGGTGACCAGTCTTAATGATAATGAATTTATTGCTCTTAAAGGCCTTATCATGTTCTACTTTGGCCTTCTAGGACACCACACAGTTAATAAAACTATTTCCAAAAGTGGCTACACCTGGTTCAAAAGCGATATTCTGACTTTACTGGAAGTCTGACAAGGCTTGGTTTCTGAGCAGAGTATGTGCTCAGTAAATACTGGATGGTGATTCGCCTAAAGGCATGCTCATTTTTTTCAACATCTATTGAGTCTTATTTGTCAATGAAGCTCTTCGAAACCAAGGTGAACCAGTTAGATTCGCTTTTATTCTTCCTTTGCTTCCTTTTGAATAAAGAGGGCTCTGATTCAGGAAAATACACAGATCATTGTCATCTTCTAACTCATTAAATTCATAAAGAGTAAGGAACTTGCAAAGCAATGCAAGATTTACTAATGTATAAGCATACTGGTGGGTAACATGGACCAAGTCCCTGATTTGTTCAAGTCCTGAATTACTTTACCCAAGAATTTTTAAAAATATTGCCATAGATTCAGGAAAACCGTTACAGCAGTGGAACAGCTGTATCAATACTAAAGATCGTCTCTCAGTTTTTTTAATATCCTGTATGATCAAGTTAAATACTGAGCTGTTAACCAAAATACTTCAGCAAAAGTCTTTTAAGTTATTAATTTTAAAATTAACTTATTTGAAAAACAGGAAACGAACTTTTTTACGCTGCTTCAAGTTCTTTTTAAAGCCAGTTCTATCAAGCAGTTATACAGAGGACCCTTTGGTAAGGTTGCACAGGTAGCGAAATGAAACCAGGTTTCCCTTTGAAAGTCATTATTAACATAAATACAAGCTACATACAGGTGTCACAAAATGTCACATAAGAGACGGGCTACCAGGCTTATTACATCCAAGTTCAACTTTGCCAGCAGCTAAGCTTTCCACTTGAAAATGTTACCATCCCTTTTAGCTCTGATGGAGTGACATTCACTTAATTTCATTTCAGCAGAGTCTTTTAATTTGTGTGAGGCCTCCTGACAATGAATGATGAGCTAACAGAATCCATGAAGACCCTCCACCACCTTCAGAGGGTCCCCTCCTAGCCCGCAAGGGACAAGGAGATGGCCCTGCCTCCTGCACTCCCACGGAAGGGGCAGAGAACACAGATGCCCCTCAGCCCAGCAGCTTCTCAAGCGTCTCCTTCATGACTGGAGAGTTGAAGACACTGCCTGGTCCTCCGTTTCTGAGAATCTACCACTTTCATCACAACTGTGTCTAGTGCAGCTAACAGTCGTTCTCTGTGACCTGCTCCATGGTGGGGTAGTTATTATTTGCCATTTTCACCATGACTTATTCTAGGAAAGATGAACAGAGACTGGTCAGTGGGTAAGTTCTCATGATGTATATCCGAAGTAAGCATTTAAAGACCAGGCAATGAGCAGACCCCATGGACTACAGCCTGCCAGGCTCCTCTGTCCATGGAATTCTCCAGGTCAGAATACTGGAGTGGGTAGCCATTCCTTTCTCCAGGTGATCTTCCAACCCAGGGATCGAACCCAGGTCTCCTGCACTGCAGGTGGATTCTTTACCATCTGAGCTACCAGAGAAGCCCAAGAATACTGGAGTGGGTAGCCTATCCCTTCTCCAGCGGATCTTCCCGACCCAGGAATCGAACCGGGGTCTCCTGCATTGCAGGTGGATTCTTTACAGCTGAGACACCAGGGAAGCCCCAATGAGCAGTTCAAAAGTGGACAAATGTAATTATATTCTAACTCTGAACAATGATATTACATTCCATCAACAACTCTTGATTGTTGGAAAAAAAGTTATTTTGTTCATTTGCTAATCAGAGCTTTCCATGGTGAAACATGAATGAGTTATAGTTATGCCAGGTTCCTGGGGCAGCTGACAGGCTGGGACAGTCAGGATCCCAGGACTGTCACCTGTGTCAGTGGCTAGCCTTCTTGGCTTACCCTAGTTTGATATACAAATATTATCATTTTCTATATGTGCCACTGTGTGAAAATGGTTAGGGAACACTACCGTATATAACAGAAAAACTATCTGGATAACAGATTCTAACCCATTAATGAAGTGTTACTATAAACAACAGAAAATCCTTCAGAATCTCCCACCAACAATTAGATTATTGGATGTTGACAGTTAAACAAACTGTACTCACCAATGAAGGGCTATTTTGCAGTAAGAATCCACTATCTGGGAGCACAGAAACTAATAATAGACAACTCAGATGAACTGCAGATGACTATGCCCTCTGGTGCCATAAATATCTCTTACATGGACCACTGTGGAGATGGGCCCCTATTCAGAAGGCACAGTTAGGTTTCGTAAGAAAATTAATGTTCACCTAAACTTGAATGGGTTTCTGAAACTGTATTAGTCATTCAGCCATGTCCCACTCTGTGACCTCATGGACTGTAGCCTGCCAGGATCCTCTATCCATGGAATTCTCCAGGCAAGAATACTGGAGTGGGTTGCCAGTCTCTTTCTCCAGGGGATCTTTCTGACCCAGGGATTGAACCCAGGTCTCCTGCATTGCAGGCAGATTCTTTATCATAAGCCATTTCTTCAATGTAAGACTAAAACAGTATCATCTGGAGAGACTAGTTCCAGCCATAGTGTTTCTCTTCCTCATGTTTTCAAGATTATTCTAAGTATTCTAATTTGTTTTCTGGATTGAACACCAAAATAGTAAAAACTGCTCTGAGAAAGGTCTTAAGGATGGAAAACTTCACCCTAAATAGGATAATTCAGTCAGATTTTCTTCCTTCAAACAGAACTAGATTTTGTTTGTTTTTAATTAAAAGAATAGCTGGCTAATCCAATCCCCTTAATTTAGGAATAAAAGAAGCCGATTCAAAGAACCAACTGCAACAGAAAGCTTTTAAGTGTTCTCTTTGGTGGTACCAGTCTTGTAAAAAAAATTTACAGACAATAACATACAGAATATTTCTTTCCACCTCAAACTCTCAATTAACAAGAGATCAAATTAATCTACAGAAGTCAACAATAAAGGATTTTAAAAATCTTTCTGTACCTTTGAAAAATTCATCTAAACATCCAAGACATGCTGAATAACAATATCTTTGCTTCTTAAATGTACATTAAAAATAAAAACAAGTGATTAAAACCCATCTTGTAAACTACAAAGTGAACAGAGACCTGAGGGTGACAGAGTCACGTAATAATGTCTGCTAGAACACCATACAGCAGTGTGGAAAGGAAAGTCATTCAAACTGTAACCATTTCTACCATGTGTTATCCCAAGATATTCCTACTGAGGGAAAAAAAACATATAAAAAAATCTACCCACGAAAAACATATAAAAAAATCTACCCACGAAGTCTTGCCCATCTCTTAGGAGGGGTACGTAATGCTACTAAGTTACTTCAGTCATGTCCAACTCTGTGCAACCCCATCCCTGGCATTCTCCAGGCAAGAACACTGGAGTGGGTTGCCATTTCCTTCTCCAATGCATAAAAGTGAAAAGTGAAAGTGAAGTCGCTCAGTCGTGTCCGACTCCCAGCGACCCCATGGACTGCAGCCCACCAGGCTCCTCCGTCCAATGGAACTTATATGACCCCTTTATCACTCGACCCTACAATAAGGACTCTGTGTTATTATTTAGCATTGAAGATTACACTAAAAACTTTAATGATGAATAAACAGCATAAGATATATATATATATTTATTTATCCTTTTGGGAACGCCTTTATTTATATTTTGTTTTCAAGGTATTTTTGGAAGTTTTAAGCTCTTGCGGTACAACAGAGTTTTAAAATCTTTCATTTTTTAAGGAAGTTTGCAATTTGCTGGTAAAATTTCCAACCCAGTTTTTTTACAGCTAAGATGCAGTAAGTGTGTCTATTCTAGTTACATCCTACAGACTCCAAAAGGCAAAAGGCCAGAGGGACTATGTACTAAGGCAATTTTTAAAAAATGTTTTTACTTTTTAAACCTTTTTTTTTTCCATTTTGTAACTTAGTTTTCACTTTTAATGTGCTAACATGAAAAAAAGCATTCAACTCAGGACAGAACTTTCAACAACTTTCCAAATCTAAAGATCGACCCCAAAACATATTTTAATATTCTTCTCCTTTAAGTAATTGTAGGTCAGATTTTACACTCAAAGCAAATAAATATAGAACACAAAACTCTGTCCTATTTCCAGTTATAGGACTTACATTTCACCTATTGCTTAAAACTATTTTATTATAGCACATACTATTTATTCTTCTTTCTCTGTCACTTATAATGCTTCAGGGTCAACATCAAAGATAATTTCATACAGATAACTAGAATTAGTTAAAAGTCATAGCAACTGCTACTAAGAGCCAAAGTATAAATTATTCCCCCTGGGTATATTCAATGTACCAGTTAATGTTAGATGCCTAATATTTTTCATTTCTAGAAACAATAAAGAACACAATATTCTTCCCATTCCCATTTAATAACTCTTTTCTTGGTTTCACTTTCTTTTAGGGTTTAAAAAAAAGACCAAATTAGCCTATCAATGCATTGAATGATTTTCAGCAGTCATCCAAGGTAAAAAAAATTTCATGTGTTCTAATAATTAGAAAGAGCAAGGCTATAAAAAGAAAGACCTGTCATCATAAGATATGAAATTATAATCCAAACATAAATTGGGTAAGAAATCTAAACCAAAATTTCTCTAGTTCTGCAAAATCTAGACATACCCCCAAAAGGTCTGAAACCATTTGAACATTCAATGTGTTAAAAGTGCCCCTACGTGTAAGGACTGTCTGCCTGAGACACTTTACCTGGGGATCTTTGAAGTACATTTCATACAACTGAATGGTCCGACGACTAGCTTGACTCCCATGGTACACAACCACGTTCAATTCTGTCCAGGTCCGGAATTCCCTTTCCCAGTTGGGGATTGTGGACAATGGGGCAATTACTAAAAAAGGGCCATGGATTCCTTTCAAATATATCTCATAGAGAAATGTAATGGACTGGATAGTTTTTCCCAAACCCATTTCATCTGCTAAAATGCAGTTTCGCCTTTGGGAGGGAAATAAAACAAGGAAACTTTCATGAGTACACATACAAGACAGCACTTTCTCGTCACAAGGTAAGTGTATATATCCATTAAACTTATAAATGCATGCCTTAAATGCTTCTTTAAATACAATGAGATACAGTTTCAAACAAAATGTTCCAAGACATAGAAAATTTCTTCTACATACTTCAATCAGTCTCTACATTAGTACATGTTAATTAGACAAATATTAAGCATACTTCCAGTGTTTGCTTTTTTTAAATAATTTTTATTAGCGAGTTAAAATGTTGCTATATTTGATCAATACTTTCAGTAACTACAGAAAAGCTATTATAGGCTTTCTTTAAAAGGTGAAGAAAAATGCATTTTACATACATGTTGTACCAATTGAAAAGTAGCCAGTTTACTCCCTCCAACTGGTATTCCCTGAGTTTGTTATTGTTTTTATACTCCCTGGAACTCTCCGATTTCTTCCAGTCATCAGCAGGGGGTCGCTCCTGTTTCAAATACAGGAAATCCCATTAGTGGTTTCTCACAGACCACACCACCGGGCTGTGTGCAAATGCACCCTCTGCCACCCGCCAGTCCTCACCACACGCTCGGTCTCTGGCTCCCGGGACATGAGCTTCTCAAACTCTTCGATCTTGGCTTGGTCTATGTCCTGCCTCAGCTCCCACGTGCTGTCTTCATAAGGCAGTGAGCACCACTTCACCAGATAGTGAGTCACAGGCTGGGCCGGGTGTAAACACAGCAGAATGATGTATGAAAAACACACACTCTACTTCACTTACAACAGACACTAACCCAGCAACAGCAAGACGGAGCTGGGAGACGTTTTAAAAAATGAGGAGCCCTTGGTTAGCGTCTAAAAGAACTAAAAATACAGTTAAGTCCCCTACATATGAACGAGCTCTATTCCAAGAATGCATTCGTAAGTCCAATTTGTTCATAAGTTCAACAAAGTTAGCCCAAGTACCCAATTTGTGTGTGTGTGTGTGCACGCGCACATGCATCTACTGCATTAGCAGGTGGATTCTTTACCACTGCGCCACCTGGGAAGTAGCCAACTAATGCAATAAGCTATATATACCTCTGCTTTTACACTTGCTTCCAAACATCCTGGGTTTAAAATAAAGATACTGTATTCTATAACAGTACTGTACACAAAAGGTCAACCATTTGTTGAGGATGCATGCACATGACAACATATGCCAGACACATGAACTAACCTATGTGACTGGACATGCAAACACACGTTCATACCTTTGAAAATTTGCAACTTGAAGGTTCCTATGTAGGGGACTTACTGTAATATTATTAAATATTGTCAGAACAAATTGCTTTTTCTCTAAGCCACTGGTAAGTCATGTTAAAAAGCCAAAAAGTATAAAGAAATAGATAGTAAGCTGAATCTCAACCTTATCTGTGTGATCATTGGGCAACTGATTCAGACTCACAGGGTAACTCATCTTGGTGTGTTTACATATTTACCTAACTGGCTACTTTCTTAAACAACGAGAAACAGGCTTGAACTTATTAGGATTTCTGCTTTTTTCTTAAAGGGATACTGTCTGCATGCAATTGCTTTAAAGTAATGTGTTTGACCTCTAGAAGACTGAAGAGCAAAATACCTTGGCTAACGCAGATCAAGAAGATCTCCTTTGCCTTTCTTCAAGCAAATATGTGGGGTTTTGGATCTTCATTTTAGGACAAAGGTACTGATTATTTAAGCTCTGAAACTAATAGTAAGTTGATAGATCTCAGCTAAATTTAGACCACGGCTCTGATCTGGCTGTGATGTTACAAACATTTGCTGAACTATATAAATATGCGGGAAAAAAATTGTTTTTAAGTACAACTAAGCAAAACTAGAAAGGTAAACATCATATTACAGATACAGTCTTTGAAACATCATGGACCTGGTGATACAGAATTTGGAGTAAAAATGGGACTTCACTGCAGACTCTCACTAGACATGCAAGATCCAAACATCCAAACACTTCATGCGGTTTAATTTACAAGAAGCAGTTAAGTGAAAGACCTCATGGTGGGTGGGAACATCCTTATGAAGACACAATGCTCAGAAGTCACTAGATGTGTGTTTATTCTTACGCGATGAGTAGGATGCCCTACCAACTGCCCTTTACAACCTGTCTGGGTTCCTCAAAGCAAAACGGGCATGCTGAGACTGAGATCTCATAAAAAGGATTCTATAGCATCCTCCACGTACCATGTTAAATGAGGCCCATCAACTTCATTAGCGATGTCTTCTGTTACTTAACACTGAACTGCGTTTTTGCTACAGGGGTACTCTTACAAGGGGAATTTGTGCTACATAACAGATTTACACCAAAATACAGTAAATTTCTTGTTGATCTTATCCGGAACTGTGCAAAATGTCAGTGTTCTTTGCCTCACATTGAAAACTGATTTCTTTCAAAAAGCTCTCAGACTAAAACAACATATTTACTGTGATTATTAAGTCCTAAAACTAACAGTAAGTTAGTACATTTCAGTTTGGTTTAGACCAAGTGTGTCATAATACAAGGCTGTGAGCGGGACCATATCTTGGGAGTTCATGATCATTCTCCATAAACACACGTAAGCGGTCTGAGTCACTGCGCCCTAAGACAAATGATCTTCTGTTACCTCTCCCCGGTCATCTGTGCTACGTGCAAAGTCCATTATCCGGTCAACCTCCACGTAATCTGGATTAAAAAGCTCATCTTCAATCTACACCAAAGAGGAGAAAAAAAAAGTTAAAATGTTTATTTAACTCCTGAGAATAAACACTATTTCACTTTTCATCAGGCAGTACTATTTGGGGTCACAACAATACAAAATTTATATTTGGCATGGGTCTGTTATATTAATTGAAACGCTATAATTTAGCAAAATCACTCCCCATGAGGAAATCAAGAGTTCAGTTCTCAGACTTTGTTAACTGGGTCTTTTAATTACTGTGTGAAACCTTTTTACTGTGAGAGAATGTTTAAGAATATTTTAAATCAAGTGTGAAATTACAATTCACTAATGAGCAATCCAAAAGGCTTATGGCACGCAATGCATTTAAGCATTCTTGAGACTGCAGTTTGCAAAAAAGATCAGAACTGTGCACGGTTAAGTGCTACTGGGGTCTTACAACTGTCTGATGCCTTATAGCATCATTTGCAGAATGTTATTGAAAAGCTAAAAAAACACTGAGACCAGTGAATTCCACATTTAAGTGTGAACGGAGTTTATGTTGTTTGGTCACCTTTGCCAATCAGCATTAGTACCTTATTTGAATACAATCTTGGCGTACATTGAAGTGTTCTCACATGATTTATTTCTACTGAACACAGAGCATATGGCTAAAAGCATTGAGGATAAAGAAATGAGGCTTTAAACATTGGGTTCTCTAACTGAGACATTAACAACCTTAACAGAAGTCAAGTAATGCTGCTTGTCTGAAAACTGATCTCACGTAAAAGAAGAGAATTTGGCTCAAAGGGAAGTTACAGACTAAGCCACACTAAAGAAGTCATAGCCAGATAAGTTAGAAGGGAAAAAAAAAAAGACACATTACTATGTGTTCCTAGAGATTAATTTATCAGCAACATAACTTCATTAAAATGCTTTGCAAAAACATTAGATACTGCCCGCGTCCCTGGAGTTGCAGGTTGAAGAGCTGCCTGGTCACAGTCGACTTCAGGATAACAAACATTCTCTGGGGTCCTGTGCCCACTTAATGCACCCAATTTGGATGCTGTGAACTGTGAATCATGAAACAAAACCCAGAAATACCAAGAGTGTGTTTTAACTGCCTCAGGTCTTTACCTGGAGTTCGTGACTAAGGCAACAAAAATCTTTGAAACATAAATGCATTGGCTTGTCAAAGTTTCTAGATTTAGATGTCCAGTATCTACATATTATTCATGTATAGCATAAACACTAAACCTTTCCACAAACTAGGATTTTATGATAAAAGCTCTAAGGCAACTTGTTATTAGACAAATCTTTTATTAAATCTGAATTAAAATCCTTAACTTTACTCCTAAACACGTTTATCCTTCAAGCAAGTAATCACCACACCTGTGATTTCCAGTCTCGATAATTTTTCTGAATAGAGAGTTTTAGTTGCAGTGATTTAAAAGGAAGCCTAAGGTGAGTCAGAGAAGGCAAAAGTGGTCATGACTAAAAACCTCAAAGCAGCAGAACTGGGGGGTGCCTGAAGCCAGGACCATCGATAGGACACGACAAACAGGTATGTGTGTGAGCGCACCTGCACGTGTGTGTAAGGAGCAGGAACTGCATCCTTCTCTGTTAACCCTCATATCCTCTTTTCAAAAAGACACAAGCTTATGCTCCTTCCATTCAGGACAAAGCTTAAGATTTACTGTTACCAAATAACCAGGAAGATAATGTATTTCAGCCTTATAATTGTTGTTCAGTCACTAAATCATGTCTGATTATCTGCAACCCCGTGGACTGTAGCACACCAGGCTCCCCTGTCCTTCACTGTCTCTCGGAGTTTGCTCAAACTCATGTCCATTGAGTCAGTGATGCTATTCTCTGCTGCCCCCTTTTCCTCTTGCCCTCACAATCTTTCCCAGCATCAGGGTCTTTTCCAATGAGTCAGCTCTTTGCATCAGGTGGCCAAGTTTACACTACGCCTTTGGGGGCATGGAGTTCAGATTCCAGGAGACCCGAGACTTGTCACCTGAGAGGATAAGTCTGGACTCTATGATATAAAAGTACTGCACACTCATCTGTCTGTGACCTCCTCCCCTATCTCCAACAAAGGGTCGGGGTGTGAAGTTGGTCGTGAAACGGGTAAGATTTTGCATCAAATTTCACACTTTTTTTTAACAGTTTACATTCTGTTAAACTCCTTCATGGAGAGGGAAATGAATGAGTCAGCCAGGTTAGTCTTTCAATGTGAAGGTTTCTCTCTATCTGCTTGAGGCTGTAAATGAAAGCAAGTGGGTGATCATAGGTCTAGGGGCCCCTGGAGGCAGCCCTCGGAGCCTTGTTTATGTAACTGACTCCGCCGGAAAAGAACCATGGCTCTTCCTAAACTAGGCAGGTGTCCTTTCCTGCCCTAGACATTACTTAGTCACTCAGCGTTCGCTGCTCAGCCGTGTCCGACTCTGCAATCTCATGGGCCGTAGCCGGCCAGGCTCCTCTGTCCATGGGATTCTCCAGGCAAGAACACTGGGGTGGGTGGCCATGCCCTTCTCCAGGGGATCCTCCTGACCCAGGGATTGAACCCAGGTCTCCCACATTGGGGGCAGAATCTTTACTGTCTCAGTCACCAGGGAAGCCCTAAGTATGGGTAGTTGTTATCTTAATTGATAATCTAGGATAAAGGGGAGGGAGGTAAAGATGTTAGATATTATATCAACTCCTGTACCACAGCGTATCATCTGTGAAAAGAAGGTCAGCAAACTCTGACTTTAACAAGAGAAATGTCACACACCTTCCCCAATCGAAATAAACATGTACATCCTAGAACTTAATACTAACTGTAGAGTTTTTGAGTTTTTAATCTGCTTAACCTTTCTTAAGATTTTTTTTTTGATGTGGACCATTTTTAAAGTCTTTACTGAATTTGTTACCGTACTGATTCTGTTGTTTATGTTCTGGTATTTTCACCACAAGACAGCTGGGATCTTAACTCCCTGACCAGGGATAGAACTTGTACTTCCCACAGCAGAAAGCAAAGCCTTAACTGGACCGCTAAGGAAGTCCCTCACCTGCTACATCTTAATAAGCCTTTTGTCTACTGCTTTTTGCACTGTCTACTAACTGTACTTCCATTACAAGATTGAATCATACCACCATATTTCCACATAATCTCAGAAGGACCAGTATCTTCTAGACTAAGCAACAGGAAGAATGAGAAATTTCCTGTTTACAAATTATTTTAGCAATAACCAGTTACCAATATGCAAGCAACAGCACCAAATGAGGCAAACTAGTTTCTCTTAATAATATGCTGATGTGAAATTCAAAATTTAGAACATTTTAAAAATGTAAATACTTTAGAAAATTAACCAGGTTTTCCATACCTCTGACAGGAATTTGTTCTGGCCTTGCTTTGCCTTAAATCGCTTAATCTTTTGCTGAATTCTCTTATCTTTTTCCAGATCTTCTACGGACGCCCATTGACAATGAAGATAAGAGCTAAAAAAATAAAACGATATACTTGAAACAGAAAATAATTGATCTTTATGATACATGTTCATTATCACTCTCCTCCCAAAATCAACTACACAGATGATTAACAGAATAACCTGTTTAATTACTTACTCATAGAGGCTGCTGAGCCACATTTCAATATAACCACTAATGGTTAAGAATAAGAGAAAATAATCAATAACAGATACTAAAATTTGCCTTCTGTGCTGGGTCTGCAGTTCTCTTACCCATTTCCCATTAGAAAGAAAGAAAGAAAGAAAAAGACCTAATCACAAGCTGTTTTCATAAGTGAATGGATTTTACTCCAATACAAAACAATTAGCACTACAAGGTGGCTTTAATTATGGATTTGTTTCCAGCCTTTTATCATTAATTGAGAAATAAAAGGTTTCTGTCAAATTTAAAGAATTCAAATTTAAAACAGCAAAGGTAAACCTCATTTCCTCCTTCTAAGACAACTGGGGAGAAAAGGACTGCCCCTAGCTCTAGAACACCAGTACCCCCAGTCCTCTCCTTGACCCCGAGTCCCTCTGCCAGAAGCTGTGAGATGATGCCCCTTGGGGTTCCTTGTGAATTTTTCACTCTCCAATGCCTACTCTTCTCTCACTGGCTAGTCTCCTCCTGTCCAGACTCACCACCAGCCTGCTCTGAGCACATGCTGTGTCTTCTCTAACTTGAACTTGAATACTCCCCATCCCACCTTTCTGTTTTCATCCCCGAGACTCACAGGTATACAGTTAATGTTGTATGGTACCTTTGACATCCTTTCATTCAGTTATTTCAATATCCTTAGTGCTATCATCCTCTACCTACCCCACACCCCTATAACCTCGCCTGTGTCTTATTTCTCTTTTTAGTGATGACATTTTAAAAAAATGAGGTGCTTTCAAAATCAAGATACTACTACTCTTAGAAATTATGTGGCCAATACAAAAATCTTTCAAAAAATGATTAATGATATGGAAAAGGCTGATGACATTAAATATCATATCATTTTTATTTATATAACATCTAATATGCATTTTCATAGGTAGGACAGATTTAGTCCTTCTACAGTGGACTGAGGGAGATAAGGATTTTAAATACATATGCCTTGTAAGGTATGAATTGATAGACGCCCTATACATGCACGTGCACGCACACACACATGCACACACTCAGGAAAAAAAGACTCAATGAAAATGCATCAAAATGCCAGTAGTGATCATTCTGGGTGGTAAGACTGTAAATATTTTTTACTTTTGACTTGTATTTTCCAAATTGTCAATAAATAACATGCAATACTGTTATAACCAAAACCAAATATTATAAACATCACCTAGTCTAGTTTCCTAATTATTGGATAGAAAAAGGTATGTGAGCACTCAGCACCTTTGTCTTAGCTGAGGTGCACATGCCTTTAAAAGCGCTGCCAGGGCGGCCATGAAGATGAGATGCAGGCCCTTCAACAGCTGGTCCAGCCTTGCTCTCCCTCCAGCAAACTGGGCTGAAATTTTGGGCAGTGAAATCAGTTCCAACTAAATGGAGAAAAACCACAGGCTTCTCCACTAGGATCAGAAACAAGGCAAGGATATGTCCTCTACTATTCAATATCACATTCTAGGCATTGGCCAATGCTGTTAGATGAGAGAAAATAAGAGGGGTAATTGGAAAATAAGAACTCTATTTGCAGATGATACGACTGCATAACTGGAAAACCCTAGAGGATCAATTAGGAAACTAATTCAAATAATAAAATAAAATAATTCAGTTATATAGCAGAATATAAAATTAACAGACAGAAGTCAAATGTCTCCATTTACACAAATAAAACAGAAGAAATAATGATAGTGAAAACCTCTTTTACAGTATTAACAAAGAAAAAATACTTAGTAATAAATTTAATATGGAACATGTGAAAATTGTATAAGGAAGCATTTAAGATCCTCCTAAAAGACACAGAAAGCACGTTGAACCAAGAAAGACATCCTTGTTTTCAGATAGCAAGACTCAATATCATAAGTCATGAATTTGTAATTTAACACAATGTAAATAAAAATATAAACAACTATTTTAATGGAGTTAGACAAGTGAATGCTGGATTTGTATATAAAAATGAACATGCTAAACATCCAGAAAAACCATAAAAAGGAACTGTCTTAGGGGAAACTCCAATAAACCAGGTAATAAAATATCATAAAGCCTCTATAAGTAAAATAGTATGCTATAACTTGTGAAGAGACAGATCAAAGGATTAGAATAAAGACAGACATGGACCCAATAAATATGTATCTTTAGTTCATGACAAATCTCATCTAAAATCACCAAGGCAAAGATGGACTTTTTAATAATGATACTGAAACAACAATATTTGTAAAAGAATAAAATTAGAGTTATGCTTTACACCATGTACCAAATGAATCGAACCTAAACAGAGAAGATAAAAACATGGAAATAGTACAGAAAAACACAGAAAATTCCTTCTTAGCCAGGGGTAGGAAAAAGATTTCCAACTATGATTCAAAAGTAAGATCTAATAAAAGGAAAGATGAACAAATCTGAATATAAAAAACTTTTTTAAAAAAAGTACAATGCTATACACAACAATAAATAGAAAGTCAAATGACAACTGAAACTGGGAAAAGACAGCTGCAATATATAATACAGATTAAGGACTAGTACTGTATACATATAAAGAACTGTTAAAAACTGAAGGAAGCACAACAGAAAACTGGGCAAAAGATCTGAACACATAACTGACAGGACAAGATACAAAAATGGTCATTAAACTTACAAAAAGATGTTCTAAATCACTCACAATAAAAGAAAATGCTACCTAAAAGCACACTGAAATACAATTCGCCATGAAAAGTAAACACACACACACACACATACTACATTGGAAATGTTGTGCGGAAATGGGTGATTTCACACAGTATTGGTAGGAATGCAAACAGAACTATTAGACATTGCAAAATTCCCTAAGAGAACTGCATTTATGTTTGCCTTTTGATCTAGCAATCCCAGTTCTAAAAATTCACCCTGAAGCTATGCCTCCAACAATTCGAAAATATGTAGGCATGAAAATATATATTGCAGCATTATCTGTAACTATAACACATCAGAAGCCATTTACAAGCCAGCACACATGGGAGATTGGCTGGGTAAGTTACCACGCAGACGTGCAGAGGAGTGCTAGGCAGCTATAACAACGAATGAGGAAAACCCTACGAACTGATGTTGAGTAACACAGTACTTGTAGTATTGTGAAAAAAGCAAAGGGCAAATGTGTACTGATGCTGTTCTTTTGTGTCTAAGAAAGAAAGGAAAATATAAAATAAACCAACCTATCGATTTACCCATCTCCATATGCATGCCAAAAATTACAGGAAGGATAAATCTGAGATTAATGAGAAGGTAAGTAGGAATGGGGTGGAAAGGAAGGGAAGATGGCACTTCTTTGGGTATCATCTTGTATACAATTCTGACTACTGAACCATGTTAGTGGCAAAAAAAAAAAAAAAATCAACAAGGATGGGGTGGGGCCTAAAATGGATTACAAACACAAACAGAAACTAATGAGCCAAAAGTAGTGTTAGTCACTCAGGTGTGTCCAACTCTTTGTGACCTCATGGACTGTAGCCCACCCGGCTCTTCTGCCCATGGGATTCTCCAAGCACGAATACTGGAGTGGGTTACCATCCCCTCCTCCAGAAGATCTTCTCAACCCAGGGATCAAACCTGGGTCTCCTGCATTGCAGGCAGATTCTTTACCGTCTGAGCTACCAGGGAAGCCCATGAGACAAATTGAGTATCAAATAAATAAGAGCCCACTAAAGCGGGGCAGGAAGGAGAAGGACTAACCTGAGCAAAAAGCACTTAGAAAAAGCACTTAGACAACAAAATACACTAACAAATACTGAATGAAGCTAGCAGGCTTCTTTTTTACATAAATATGGCCCAGTAATTCTGAATCCATTTCTTACATGTTCCAGGATTAACAAATAAGAAAATATATTATGGACCATAGAAAATATATTATGGATCATATGTCTACTGTGACAGGTTTCTCACAGTAGAAAACAGAGAGTTATTAATATTAGAAGGGGAAAGAATAGAATGAATCCCGTGGTACTGAAATAAAATTGGAGGTATCACTATAAAGACATTGTTCTTCCATGTTGGCAGGTAGGTAGGTAGACAGAAATGTGTGGGTATATATAATGAACATTTATGTGTGTGTGTAACATGTATGTGTATATGTCATACACACACGCATTATCATATACACACACATATGGGTGCCCTTCCTAAGCCCAGAAGCAATGAGTCCCCAGTGGCAATGAACACACCGAGTTAAACCCTGGTTTCTAAATGCTCTTCTTCAGTAAAAATAACCAAGGCTCCTAAGAAAGGACCAATTCCAGGACTTGAACAGGAAGTTTCGAGATGCGTCTGGAACATCCTCTGGAGCCAGCAACTAAGGAAGTGCTCAAAGAAGGACAGGGACAAGGTAAGTGAGGGAGGGAGGAGGCAGCCTGATGGGCTTCCACCGGCCAGATCTGGGGTCAAGTGAGCAGAGGAAATAATGGCATGAGAGTGAGGGATTGTGACCCCCTGAATCAGGTAAGACTCCACACGGGAATTCTTTGTACTGCTGCTGCGATTTTTCTGTAAATCTGAAATTATGTCAGAATGAAAGGTTAACAAAAAGTTTTCATTTTATGGAAATTTTAACTTCCTTTAGAGCTCTATAACATCAGAGAAGAAAGCTATTTTTCAGCACTCTCATCTCACTGCTTCATCTCACATGACTGATGACTCATCTCCCCGGCTGGCGGCACCTGGTGAGGCACCCCAGTGGCTGGGGTTAGTCACAAGCCAGTTGAGAGGATTTCTGAGAACCAAACACCACGGCCTCGGCACTCCACACTGACGGGGACGGGTGTCTATCTAGTGGAGTTGTTTCTTGGCAAAAGTACTCAAACTTCTTGACTTGGAGTGCGATTTTTTAAATCCATCACAGAGCCTTCTCTCAGGCTTACTTGGTTATCTCCTTCTTATCACGTCTTTCCACCCACCTTATAAGACTATATGAAACCATGTCATGTGCATACCTGGCATGTGTGTAAACTTCTCATGCTCTGAGTATAAAATGATGACGGCATCTGATGTTTACTGAGCATTTTTCATTTCACTGAACTTTTACAGTAACACTGATAAAAGAGACTCCTTCATCTTTTTACCTGGTGGAAGGTTCTGCTCATAAACGTCAGAAAGACACCTATTGGTTAACACAGTGCCAAATGCAACAGGGGGTGATGACAGAAACCATGAGGCCTGATGCTTTTTTTGAGGATAGGGTATATTTTCTTAGGCTGTTTGACAGCTCCCCGAAGCCTCTCTTGAAACCCCAGAATTCACTAATATGACACTTGAGTTCCTGGCCTTAAAAAGTTTAGAGTACATTTAACTTTTACATTATCAATAAATATTTTTGTCTTTATTCTCCGATTGTTATTTGGGTTAGAGAATGGCCGCGGTCTTTCCTCGGTAAGATGAATATTGATGCTTCAAACTAGGCTGTCCCATGAGTGTGCTTGGTCCTAGTATCCTGCCTCCATCTATGAGAATCAGGACAACAACTCACAGTGGTTTGTGACTCAGTTTTTTAAAAGTTAAGCAATTCAAAGTCACTAAACACAAGTCAGAAATAAAAACAGATCATCAAAACCATAGCTCACTACATTTCAAAACGTGAGATGATGTCATGATTTTTCTAGCACTTTCACCCAGGAGCAGAGTTCTCATTTGGGCACAGATGAAGGCAGGGTACCTGGCCTCACAGAGCAAAATTCATCCTCAGAGCTCAACAGATATTACCTTCTCTGTTACTGTATGAGAACTTCTTGGTTATGCACAAAAGCTAGTCAACCTTTACACCAATTACACATTTTATAGAAAAATAAAACTTATTAACTAGTCAAGATACAAAAGTTAGGAGGCAATGGCCACCACAGCACTGAATAAATCATACCAGAATTTCCCCATTGCCAATTAAAAAAATTCCTGATTATTTTTTAATTTGGTACCTTGAAAATATATTCTCCCATTTAAAAAAAAAAAGTCACAATCTACTTACAAGTTTTTATATTTCACGTAGAACTCCTCAACTTCTACCTCCTCTCCGGATTCCTTCTGCAACAGAGGAAAATTTCAGGCATATACTTGAAAGCATCTACTAGAATGCTCCGAAAGTAATGATTTACTCCCGTGTGGACACACATAAGGCATCGCAGAAGTGGCATGGGACGTTCCTGGAAGGATGAGCACGTGGTGAGCTGGTGGGAGGCAGTCGGATGAGGACCGGCCAGGCGCTACCCGACCGGCTCCGGCTTCTCAGACATGAATCACTTTAACTCCTCCCTAACCACATGCAGCTTCATTCACAACAACCTGACCCCAAATCTGGCTTTCTGCCAAACCCACAGTGTTAAGTAGACGCCAAGTGTACCATTTTCGCAGGCAGCAGCCAATTAGCAACTGCTCTCCTGAATGCCATATGTATTATTTTTGGCTGCCTCATGGCAACTTTACATTGTGGGTTTTGTAATGTTTTAAAATATTTAAAAGACATTTATTCGTCCATATAGTTAATAACTCTAAACAAGAAACCATATAAAACTAAACCTTGTTCCTAGGCTGTAATTTCAGTGCATCACTATTGAGGGTTTTAGTTTGACTCGATGGTACAATTAAAATCTCTCAGACAAGATGTCTCACACACGTAGCAGCCAAATAAAATTAACACTCCAAATACGATGTTGAGGTGAGGTTAACGTGGTGACCCGTCAGCCAGACCAAGAGTGCAGTGGGCAGATTATCTAGAATCTCTCCCTTGATTCTGCCTACCATCATGTCTGCAGAAGACACCGCGTGGATGATATTTTAAGCATCTCTTTCAATATTTTTTTTCCTTTTGGTTTTAGGCTGTTAAACAAGTCGTAATATGTAATTTTCTTCTAGAACATTTGATCAGATAAATCAGGGATGTAAAACATAAACACCACTTACAGATGTTCGAAGATTGCTTTTACACTGTTCTGAGAGCACCTGCCTGGAGGGTCGCATTTGGCTGCTAGGCGGCCTCAGAGATGCCGCGGAGAAAACTCAGGCAAGTCAGAGCATGACAGAGGACGAACAAAGGAAAGGAGACATCTACTGGGTGACAGACTGGCACCAGGTCCATTCAAAGACATTGGGGTCGCCGTCAGTCCTTAGCCTTCAAACCACTGTCAGAGACTGCAGACTAACACTATTCTTCAAAACTCTTACAAGGATCAGTTAAACTTAAATATCAAGCAGCTTTACCATCTGCCAAGAGATCCCCAAGAAGGACACTGAGGAGTGTGGCCAAAAGCCATTAACACGTGGTCCTATCCTCCCTATAGATCGTCATACTAAGTGCAGTAAGTCAGACAGAGAAGCAGAAATACTGGGTGACATCCCTTATATGTGGAATCTAAAAAGAAATAATACGTATGAACTTATTTACAACACAGAAAGAGACTCACAGACTTAGAAAATGAACTTATGGTTGCCAGGGGGAAGGACTGGGGGAAGGGAGAGTTAGGGAGTTTGGGATGGGTATGTACACAGTGCTATACATAAAATGGATAACCAACAAGGACCTACTGTACAGCACAGGGAACTCTACTTAATGTTATGTGGCAGCCTGGCTGGGAGGGAAGTTTGGGGGAGAATGGATACATGTAGATATGGCTGTGTCCCTTTGCTGTTTACCTGAAACTATCATAACACTGTTAGTCAGCTATATCCCAAAACAAAAACCTAAAAAAATTAATTCAAGAATTTAAAAAATCTGGTCCTACTCCAATGCTTCTATAATGATCATTATCCTAAAACATTTTCTTTTTTTAAAGTATCACCAATTTTACTTATTTTAAAGCTTTTTTTAAATGCAGACTTATTTTTAAATTTTTTATTGAATTTGTTACAATATTGCTTCTGTTTTAGGTTTTGGGTTTTTTTTGGCTTCAAGGCCAGTGGGTTCTCAGCTCCCCGACGAGCAATGAAACTCGCAACCCTCACTCTGGAAGTCTTAACCACTGGACCACCAGGGAAGTCCCTATAGGAACGGCAGCTTCTTTTTTCTTAAAAAAAAAAAAATAGTAACTTTACTTATTTACTGTAGGCTGTGTTGAGTCTGCACTGCTGCGTGAGCTTTTCCCTAGTTGCGGTGAGCAGGGGCTACTCTCCAATTATGGTGTGCAGGCTTCTCACTGCAGGGGCTTCTCTTGCTGAACCCAGGCTCCGGGCTGCATGGGCTCAGCATTGCAGCTCCCGGGCTTTAGAGCACAGGTCCCATGGTTGTGGCGCGTGGGTTTAGTGGCACTGAGGCATGTGGGATCTTCCAGGATCAGGGATCAAACCTGTGTTTCCTGCGCTGGCAGGCACATTCTTTACCATTGAGCCACCAAGGATGCCCCTACAGCAGCGTCTTAACCAATGTGCACAGAAAACCATCTGTGTCCCAGATTTTATTTACTTTTATTATTTTTATATCAATTTTTATTGGAGTATAGCTGATTTACAATGTTGTGACATGTCCCAGACATTTTAGTTGTCCAAAATGAAATGTTTGCTAGATCCCTTCAGTATACACCAGCAATTACTGTATTGATAAATTCTGGCTGCTTCGAGTCCGACCGTCCCGGACTCACCTTACATTTTTCTAGCCCTAGTATTACCCGGTTCCACGCCCACATTTCAGCAATTGTTTCGAGACACATTATCTTGGCATACAACCGGAGATTTCAGTAGAAAGCCAAAGATAAGACAGAGGCCAGCCAAGGAGAATGAGAAGCCAGGAAGAGCCTAGATCTCATGGTGCTTCTCATAGCATATCTTGAAATTTAAACCTCGAATGGAATTCAAATGTCTGGCCTGCTGTTTTAACTTTCTTGATGTTAACTATATTTCTTTCATTTCTGAAAAAGGTTTCCAAAATGCATACCTTGGAGGCAGTAAAAAGACAAGCTTTGTCCCCTCCCTGCTCTGTCATCTCCTGACTTCACTCCTTCAGAGCCTGTGCTGTCATTCCCACCTCATTCTAAGTGGCCTCACCGATGGCAACTGCTGGGAGGGTCTCACAGCACACAGCATGATCTCTTGAACAAAGAGGTCATTTTCATTCTGCCTCAGTTCTGCTCCAGAAGGCTCGGACTCTTAAAGGTGTCAACGCTGTGTCCCTGACTGTCACGTAGACCCATCTTCTTGTTGTGATCAGCTATGCTTCAAGGGGGTGTGCTGCAGGGATCTCAACAAGAGGGTCTTGAGCTCTCTGGAAGCAGGTGATCAGGTTCCAGACCTCACTGAGCAGCAGCTGGAGCAGGTGCAGAATTGTTCTGGGTCCTAGTTCTTTGGGATGTTCTGAACTAGAACTCTGTGCTCTGTTCAATGACCATTCTCATGTTGGATCATCTTCCTGCTCCCAGAACTGTAGGTGGATCCTCTTCCCGATCCAGAACTGTAGGTGGATCTTTTTCCTGCTACTAGAACTGTAGGTGGATCCTCTTCCCACTCTCAGAACTGTAGGTGGATGCTCTTCCCGCTTCTAGAACTGTAGGTGGATCCTCTTCCAGCTCCCAGAACTGTAGGTGGATCCTCTTCCTGCTCCAGAACTGTAGGTGAATCTTTTTCCCGCTTCTAGAACTGCAGGTGGATCCTCTTCCCACTAAAGAACTGTAGGTGGATCCTCTTCCCACTCCCAGAACTGTAGGTGGATCCTCTTCCCACTCCAGAACTGTAGGTGGATCGTCTCCCTGCTCCAGAACTGTACGTGGAGAGCTAGAAAACTGTTTTGCCCTTCATATCATATAAACATGATCATGTTGGCCTCTTCTGTTTTACTTACAGCAAAACAATGAACAAAAGTATGTGAATTCATCAGCTTTCAGGGGCATCCTTTTAATTATTCACTAAATGGCAGTCAGTTTGACCAGACTCCTTGACAGTTGAAAACAGCCCCAGTCCCCTATCTTCACCCCTCAATGTTCGAAACTCTTTCTTCAATGGGCATATCCAATGGACAACTGAGTCAAGGCACCACTATTTTGCATGCACACAAACATACACACAAAACACTCAAATTTACTGGGTTAGTCCAAAAGGGCCCTTGGGGTTTTTCCATAATCTTATGGATGGAAAATCCCCACCAACTTTCTGGCCAACCCATTATCTCTAGGACAGTAATTGGAAAACTTGAGAGTGCTCTGAAGTAATTTTACATACTCAGTAGACTAGTTTTGAGAAATGTGTTTATCTTTTTATTAGATGCCTAGAGTAGTCTATCAAAATCCTTATTATTCACATGAAATTGAAAGTTCCAAACATATTAAGCTATACTCGTCCCATTGTTGCCATGAAACAGAACCTTAACCAGGTATAAATCAACTCCTCAGCCAGCTGGATTCTATAACAGCCATTCAGCAAACAATAATCCAAGCCTGAAAGACCTTCCCCAAGCACCCTATTACTAAATTAAGCAGTTGCATTGAAGAAACAAAGCTAAACTTTAGGGTGAAAAGGCGGAAATCTTATTAAATAATGCAGAAAAGACTCAGAAAGTGCCTTGATAAAAGTAACAATAAAGAAAAGGTATGAATCCATTCTTACTTCTGGCCCAACGTACTGTGTATTCTATCAGAGGTATCAAATCATGGTTTACTCAGGAAGAAAATAGGACATCACAAACACAGAATTCACTTTCAAAACTATTTTTGACCTTCTGATACAAAAAGGATTTGAATTGTTTTCCCCCAAGGACAGATGGCTCAAGGCAGAAAGGGCTACACTATGACTCACTGTGCAAAGAGAATTAACCTTTACATAATCCAGAAGTCCATTCTTATACCTATCTCAGTATTCAAATACAAGTACCACCTATGTTCTTCCACTGGGTCTCATGCATTTGGGTTTGTTGTTGTTGTTTAGTAGCTTAGTCATGTCCAACACTTTTGCGACCCTGGACTGCAGCCTGCCAGGCTCCCCTGTCCGCGGGATTTCCCAAGGAAGAATACTAGAGAGGGTTGCCATTTCCTTCTCCAGGGGTCTTCGCAACCCAGGGATTGAACCGGTGTCTCCTGCCTTAGCAGGTGAGTTCTTTACCACTGAGTCACCAAGGAAAACCTAATGTGGGTTCAGAACAACATAAATGCCTGAGCCATCCCCATGTAGCATGAGGTGCTGAACTAGGGAAGTTCTGCCAGATGAGTTCTGGGCGTTTGTATGGCTCCATCATAAGGGATGACCCTTTAGAAGCTACAGGGATGAGGTCAGCAGACTGCAAGAACCATACCTGAGTCCCACTACGTGTGAGCACTGCACAGGGGCGGCTCTGTAGCCCTCAGCCACTTTCCACTGTGCTGCCAGGGGGAGACAAAGGCACCTTCTCACAGCCACGTCTTCAATTATTCATGGTAATAGGAAACAGACCAGCGGGGCCAGCTAGAATCCACAGGAAAATCTCAAATTTCCTTTTGTTTCTATTTGCCACACTTTCCTCCACTGTTACTAAGGATGATAACTGAAGTAACTATTTTGAGAACATTAGCAGTTTAAAAAGTGAGTACCTGCTAATGTTTACAATTTTCTGATGGTTTTTTTATTGCCCTTTATGAAATATCAGTAATTTACAAGCAAGTCAATGAGCTCTATATTTCTTATTTTAAGTCATAACTCATGGCATATCTCTTCTTCCAGAGAAAATTTCCCATTGCTTTTCTTCATCCTAAAATTCACCAATTCAACAAATACTCTACTACCCTCACATACAATTACAGTGATTTTTAATCTCTGGTGATAAGATGAACCTGGTCATCTCTAAATGGTAGTAATACCTACTCCTAAACTGGGAGTAGCTCTCTTTCAAGGGTAGGAAAGGAAAAAACTAGCTCTAAAGTGGGCAAGACAGAAAGAAAAAGCAATGCCCTCCATCATGTATAGTCTAAGTAGCTCTGAGTAATAGTGCTGATTATAATTTGCAACCCCCAAACCTGCTGACTATGCCTACTGAAGCACTATCAATTGAATGAAAATTAATATATCCCATTCAAACCACAGCCTACTTACTCAAACAAGTCACTTCAATTCGGTGAAGGGGATTACGCTTTATAGTATGTCAAGCATTTACATTCTGCCATATACCTACAATTCACTAATTAACAATTCTAGAGTCATTAGAAGGACTAAAAAACAACCTTTCTAATTAGGTTAATAGTGCTCGTTTCTGCTTGAACAGGAGTGAAATTTGGTTGAGATCTTAAATTCATCAGAGAGGAAATTCTCAAGGTCAGAGAGTCACCAGGTAGGTAACTCCATGTATCTTCATCCTCTACACTCATTTTGAAAATATCTTTTTTTTTAACTTTGTATTTTGTATTGGGATATAGCCGAAGAACAATGTCAAGATAGTTTCCGGTGAACAGCGAAGAGACTCAGCCACACATACACATTCTGTGTGTGGGATTTTGATCCAATGACACCCTCAGCTGGTAATGAAATATCCATTCCATTTCACTGCAGTGAGCTGGGCCTGTGTCTCCTGGTCTGACTGAATACTCTGGCTCAGCATCACCCAGCAGAGCTCTCTGCACCATCTTTGAAAATATCTTGACACGTTGCTTTTATTTTCATATGAACCAGAATGCTATCTTCTGATAAAAATCTACACCTTAAATAACACAATAGAACAGCAAGAATACTGGAACAAAGGCAAAGAAGAATTTACCACTGGTACAATACCATTTCAAGGATCTCTAGAAAGTATTTGAAGAGTTGCTGTTAAGTCACTAAGCTGTGTCCGACTCTTTGTGACCCCCTGAACTGTAGCACACCAGGTTTCCCTGTCCTTCACTATCTCCCTGAGAGTGCTCAAACTCATGTCCATTGAGTTGGTGATGCCATGCAACCATCTCATCCTCTGTTGCTCCCTTCTCCTCCTGTGCTCAATCTTTCCCGGCATCAGGGTCTTCTCCAAAGAATCAGCTCTTCACATCAGGTGGTCAAAGAACTGGACCTTCAGCTTCAGCAACAGTCCTTCCAATGAGTATTCAGGCTTGATCTTTAGGATTGACTGGTTTGATCTCCTTGTGTCCAAGGTATTCTCAAGAGTCTTCTCCAGCAACACAATTTGAAAGCATCAATTCTTTGGTGCTCAGCCTTTCTTATGGTCCAACTCACATATGTACATGCTTCCTGGAAAAACCACAGCTTTGACTATACAGACCTTAATCGGCAAAGGGGTATCTCTGCTTTTCAATATACTGTCTAGGTTTGTCATAGCTTTTCTTTCAAGGTGCAAGCATCTTTTAATTTTGTGGCTGCAGTCATCATCAGCAGTGATTTTGGAGTCCAAGAAAATAAAATCTGTCACTGTTTCCACTTTTTCCCTATCTATTTACCATGAAGTGATGGGACTGGATGCCATAATCTTCATTTTTTTGAACGCTGAATGTTTTTTTGAATGCTGAGTTTTAAGCCAGCTTTTTCAAAGATTTCACCTTCATCAAGAGGCTCTTAAATATTTCCTATTTGATAAACCCAGGAGCTCACTTTAAATCATGTAATTCCTCCACTCCTCATCTCTCTCACTGGAAGTTACACTTTGTATACACTTTACATTTTTTTTCCCAGAAAAAAAAGCTTATTTTACATGTCAAAACAATGAGGCTATACTTCCACCCACCTTGAAGGCAAAGAAAAAGAAATAACTGTGCACTTTATGATGATTCAAACCAGGAGACAGACACTTGTACCTAAAGGAGACCATCTCTAGAGACAGACAGACCAAACACAGTTTGCTAGAACATGTAAATGTACCTGAATGCCTATGTACTTCTTCAAACTAAAGCATTTTCTCAAACTGATGAAAAAGAGGAAAGGTTGACAGGGAGTCTCATCAATAACAGACGCAGCGTTCCTGGAATTCATTGTCACAGTGTGTGTGCGCCTCAGGTACAAGGGCACCAGGCTAATAAATGATACCTAGGGCTCGCCTGGACGAATCAACATGAATTTCAAATAATTTGGAAGGATAAGGCATGTTATCTTCAAAAATTATACTGAAAATAGTTCAGTATTTCACTTCTGCAGTAACAAAAACAAACAAAAAAAAACCTAGTGAATATTTCAATTGCAAATGAAAGGACTTCCCTGGCAGTACAGTGGTTAAGACTCTGCACTTTACTCTAGGTGGTGCAGGTTCGATTCCAAGTTAGGGAAACTAGGATCCCACATACTGCAGGCACAACTCAAACAAACAAACAAACAAAAATCCCCAATCAAACAAAGAAATCAGAACTCAACTGTGTATGAAAAAACGTTGTGAAAAGTATGAGAAAACACCTACTTGCTAAAATGATAAAGAGAGCTTCCAGGGCTGGGCAGCGGGGGTAGGGACCTTCCTAAGAGAGATGACTGACTCATGTCTATGATTTTATATGAATAATATTTACGAAAAAGGTAGCCTACGAGTCCTATACATTTCTTTTGAGATGTTTTGAGTTCCTGCCTACTCTAAATGGGGTAAATAAAGCACTGACCGTTTGATACATTTTAATTTCATTTGGGGTTGAATATCCCAAAGATTGATATCGGACTAGTATCAATTAGACAGGATTAGAACCATCAGCAGAAGTTTTATGTTACAATAGTGAAATTTTAAAAGGAAACTGTAAAACAAAAAATAATTTTGAGTCATACCCACACCACAAGTTCTGATAACTCCACATGGCGCTTACCTGTTTTTTTACTGAACGACTACTCATAATTTTTTCTACCACTGGACCATCTGCATCAACAGATTCCTAAAAAATAAAGCAGAGGGAACGAATGCAGAGAGCATGTCATTCTAAGCTATAAAGGTGAGAAACCATTCCCTTTCGCATCTCCCTCCAAACCCTTTAAATTCATACCCTTTAAATCACTGGGCAGGATCACCAGTGGGAAATACAATTGAAAAGAACAAAAATCTCCCTCTACAGAAAGGCAAAAAGGAAGATCTGTGTTTATTACTTTGCGATTATGTGGTTTAATTGCATGGACTAGCATGGGTCCCCAAAGCCAAGGAGCATTCAGAAATTCCAGCTGCCAAGAGAAATGATCTCTGCATGATGGCAAAGACCTGACTTCTCCCTGTCTGGACCCATGGGGTAAATATACTCATCATTCTGTTATTGTAGGCAGCTTTGATCTACAGAGGTCACACAAAACGTTACAGAACAACCTGACAGAGTGCAAATTACCAAATGAAATACAAAACTGCATTTAATATATTTTTCAGTGGGTTACCAGTTTGTTAACTAAAGCACAGTGATGGCAGGAAGAGGACTTTAAAAGAGAGAAGGGGGAAAAAAAAGATATTCACAATAATCATTCCTCCATTACTACCCATATTTTATAAGCTCTTTTATCCATCATTTACATTGCATGGAGAATAAAGTATGCCCTGCTGGATACTACACGGCAGTAATTTCATAAAGGGGTTCTTATGATGCTGAGCAGCAGGAGACAAGCCTGAGTGGCTTATTAAAGTCCCAGAAGCTATACAGCACTGAACTCTCGGAGGGAAATTCAGTCTCCCTGCAGCCCAGCTCTGACTCATCCTCAACAGGGACCATCAATTCTCCAAAACGGTGTCAAATTGTGTATCACAGGCTCACACTAAAATAAATTTCAGTGAACAGGGTTTTTTTAAAAACCTACTTCTAAACCACTGATATCCCAAAGTGTGTTCACCAACACGAGATGGATGTTTCCAGCTCAAAGTCCGATGCTTCAAATGAACTTCTCAGATACCAGCTATAAAATCTCCAGCCTACTCTTTGACATGCAAGTGCCCCCCCCCTCCCCCGCACACCTGTGGCTCCGACTGTGAGGTGGTGGAGGGAGAGTCTCTCCCAGCAGCATCTGCGTCGTCGGCCTCCTCATCAGAGATCTTGAACTCCAAGTCCTCGGTGTATCGCTTTCTCTTCACTTGCCTGCTGGACCGTCGCTTCTAAAACAAAAACCCGCCAGGGAGGACTTAGAAAACTGATGCTCATTTCTGTTTCTTGGAATGGCAAGGGTACATTTATATTATAAAATAACAATGATCTTAAAGAAAAGTCGGTGACTATAACCTTGTAAAGCACACAAGACATCACACTGGCGACAGATATGATGGGAAAGGGGGAAATCTGAAGTCAGACACCTGGCAGGTCAAGGTCCTGCCACTCCCGGCTACGTGGCCTTTAACTGCAAAACGGTAGTAACAACACATCTTCCTCCTCATTCAGGTGGTGAGTTGCTCAAAAGTGAAGGCAATACTGAAGCTGGGTGGTAGATATGTTAAGACTTCATTAGGCCATCCTATTTTTGTATATTTAAAAAAAAATTTTTTTCCATGATAAAAAGTCTAAAAAAACTGAAGGCATTAGAAGATACTTTGTGACTTATAAAGTTCTATTTAACTACAGTTAGATTATTATCCAAGGTACCAATAAGATTTCAGAGGCCCATTTAAATAGAAGGTGTGCATTTTAATCTTGGTCCTAAAAGAAACAGTTTAAACATTTCTGAAGAGATGAAAGACTGAATGGCAGAATTTATAATGAGCAACTATGATAAGGAACTTTTAAAATTTTTGACTGCACTGATTAAAATGCAAAGGACTATTAACAGTATTAGTAGGAATGCTGGCAAGATGCTGTCTCATCCAGTGGTCAAAGTAGAACCTACTACACTTTTGCAGGACAAGTGTGGTCAAAATGTAAAACCTGCCCACTCATCCTGGCAAGCAAACTCCTAGGAATCTACAGGATGCATCCAGAAGACAAATGATTAACTAAAAAGAAAAGCAAGTCAAATAACAATTGGTTGCTTACAATTCTAAGATTAGAAAAACCTTGTGTATCTATCTGCATGTGTGGGCCATCAATATATTAACTCCTCCAGAGAAACACACTGCGTATCTTGTTTACTTTCCTATGACCCAATGAATATTGGTTTAAAAAAATTAAATGTATATGTGCATATTTTCAATAATAGGAAAAAATCTGAAAAGACACAACAAACTGTTAAAGCTATTAATTCTGGGGAGTGAAATAAAGGGATCAGAAGGAAAGATTCTGTACTTTTTGTTCAATACAATTCTAGACTGCTTGACCTTTTTGATATACAAATAGGTTTGTCTGTTAAGTAAAAATGGAGATAAACAACTTTCTCATTAATATGTGTGATAAAATCTAAGCTAACTCTAAAATGACTTGTGTAAGTTTTAAATCACTGACCAAGGCAAGACTATTACAGATGAGCTGGCAAAGCACACAGAATAAAAAGAATACGGAGAAAAGTAACACTGATACAAACTGCTTGTTAAGAGTTATAAAGAAAAACTTTCTGAAGAGCCTTGTGAGTTTTTTAAAGTTGGGACAGTAAGGCAGAGAGAAGCAAATCACCCCACCACATGGACCTCGGGAGGTACTGGCCAGAGACCGACAGGGCCCAAGTCGAGACCACCAAGCCCCAGCACCCTGTACCAGAGAACGGGACCCACCATGTCTTACTGTATGAAGTCTGTGCTTCCCTTGCTCTCACAAGGGGGTGGGAGGCCGCTCACACCCTGGTACCGCTCACACACAGATGGTACATTGGGGACTGTGAACTTTTAGCTCTACATCGAGGTACTGGTGAGAGTGGGGGGGAGGCATCCAAATTCTGACTTTCCCCTCTGACCTCCCTCTCCTCTCCAGAATAACCAATTCCACATGGAGGTGACACCGAGGCCAGCGGGGGTCCCACCCCGGGCCATCCTGCCCCACGTCACCTTGTGAGCCCTGGCACTGCGTGTTCCCATGAGAATGAGCCTGGTCTCTCACTGTGTGACCCTGGATGAGTTATTTTAGGGTCCTCAGTTGCCCGATCTGTAGAATAGGGGTAATGGTAGTAGCTACCTCGTAAGTATGCTGTGGCGATCACAGGAGGGAATTCACTGGAAGTATTCAAAACGGTGCAAGGCACGTGCCAATGATAAATGCAGTTAGTAGCATTACGGACATCAGTAACTAGCTCCACTTCTGCAAGGAAAGTCAGGAAGCAGTGAGGCTCTAAAGCCAGGCTGCATTACACAGCCTCCTTCCTCTCTTCCCACAGCTCATCTGAAGTAACTGCTCTTCTGCCTCACTTTATCACCTCCCATTTCTGGCTGTCAATTTCTTTAAGATGTAAGAGCCTATTATCAGGAACAACATTTTAATTTGGTGAGATTTAGCATAATCTCTATATTTCATTTGATGTATCAATTTCGCTAAATGGAAACGGATTAATCTTTATTTTCATCTTTATGTCATTACTGTAAGGAGAACGTGCTATGAATGACACATCTGTGATGCTTTATCAGGTTTCCGTGGCTGGGGCCACACTGCCCCAGGATTCTTTCAGTGCAAATAACTAAACGTCCTTGGACAGAGTCTAAGACAAATCCACTTTTTAAACCCCACTCTGATAATGAAGAAATGTTCCAGCACAATAAGACAGGGACTTTTTTTTTTTAATAAAAATGTATGTATGGTGAATATAACTTTTATAATGAAAGTTTCTCCTCATTATCAACTTTGTGTTACATAAAAGTAAAAAAAAAAATTAGAACTCAATTTTCTGAACTGTTTAAATGTTATATGGCTTCTCTACCTTCTAAATAATAACTGATCTTAAGTTCATTTATTTTGGGTATCAAGGTTCCTTTTCCAATTTCCCAATATAAAATAATTTATTACATAATAGGCTTCTTAAAGATTTGTTAGATTATTATTATTTAGAAGATTTGGGGAGTATGGCTGATTCATGTTGATATTTGAGCGAAAACAACAAAATTCTGTAAAGCAATTATCCTTCAATTAAAAAAGAAAAAAAAAGATTGGGAGGATCAAAATGAAATGTAAGAATTGCACTTAAAGCTCAAAACTTCTGAATTAACACAAAAATAACTTGTTAAACTTGGATTGTTTTAAGGATTTTCTTACAGTTAAAACAGGTACACTGAACAGGAGATTTAAATGTGTTGGCACAATCTCACTTTGTGGCAGTACTTTGTGACACAATTTTCAGTTGGCTAAAAGAAAAAATAAAGACATGGCATTTACTAGAGTTTGAACAAATCAATCATAAAACTCAAGAACTACATGCCCTTTGCTGAAGCGTGTGCGACAGGAAGAAACACAGCAAGCCAGCAGGCAGCATCACTTCCTGTGCAGAGACACAGGAGGGACACTGAGAAAGTGGCTTGTGTGGTTACTGACTTCAGCCGTGCGGCCCAGGGCAGTTCAGCACCAGCCAGTGAGAAAGGACGCACCGATGTCCATTTGCACTGATTAGCATTTTCTATAACTGAAATGCAGAAGCGGGGGGAGGGGGGGAACGACAAAACACTGGTATTTCATAAAGTCCATTTGGGTCTGCATTAATGCAAATGGATTTTTAAGATTCAGTAGTGTTTGTGAAAGAACTACCGAATTTTCTTGACCTGTGTGAAAGGCCTCCTCATACTGTCCAAATACTACTGCATGAAGATCCTAGTTTAAGCAAAGAAATTCAGGGGAAAAAAAAACACCTGTGAGCATACAAATTAAAATCATTAAAAATACTTTAGTTTAAAACTCCCTAAACAATTAAAAATATCTACTCACCTCCCCCATGTATTTTCACTGACATATAAAGTCAGAGGAGATTACAAAATTAACTCAAACTGCCAGAGGTTATCACTATGCTAGTTATAGAACCAAACCAAGCCAAACCAAAACACATTCACTCACTCATTCTCTCTCTTGCCCTTTCAGGTCCTCTTAGGTTAGGCCATTCTGTGACTTTACCGGTATCAGGGAGTTCTAGTTAAACACACACACACAAACAAAAGCTATCTGAAATTCTTTAGCACAGAACTGCATATTGCAAGTACTTTGTTTCTAACTCTGAAGCAAATGAGTAGGTACAAGGAGTACTGAATCTGCACCAAACTATTAGAAAAGGTCAAACTTGCTTCCAGGGGCTGCTTTCTATCCTGGCAGGATGCTCGGTAACTGCTCCTTGACAGCGGAGATGTCATTCACAGAAGCCACGTTCCCAGGCACCCCAGAGGACCACGTTGGCATGCTTCCAGGGAACGTAACAAGGAAATAATGTTCAACAGTCACGTGGAGGGATCCCTTACTTACAGTCCTCTCGGTGGAGGCAGTGTGCTTTACACGCAAGAACCTGAATTCCTGATGTCTATTTCAGGGCCAGCCTTTCAACTGATTCCTATAAAATTGTCCAGAAGTCAGGAGAATCTAACACTGGACAATCGTGCAGTGCTGCCATCCAGAAAGTCACTCAGTTGGTTCACAGAAACTTTAGTATTACACAAACACATCTCGACTCTGACCGTCAGATGTCAGAAACCTTAAGATGAGGTACAGATTACATCTTCAACTTTGTTCTGCAATATAATTGACAGGGAACCAAACTTAGGAGAAATTTAGAAATGTGGATGATGGTCTTAACGAACCAATATATATATATTAAGAATACATTAACACTAACATATACATAAACATCAAAAGATACCTTCACAGAAATACATGTAAAGAGCCTGTTTTATTTATCATAGAGTCAAAGATGGCAAAACCACGAAGTCAGGAGTTTAATTTTCGGGCTGGCGGCCCAGCTCTCATCACAATGGATATAATGTTCCAGACAACAAAAACCCATCTTTACAGCAGCTCTATAACAAAGACAGGTAGGTCCAGTGCACTTGATATGCAGCTAAAGTTACCCACACTCAACAACCACGGCTCAGGATCAGAATAAAGGTATTACCTGAACACCTGGGTCTTCATCGTCTTCAGGAGGAGGGGATGGTGGGGGCGTTTTGTCCAAGTCTGAATTTTCAGAACCTTCTGTTTTTCCCTTGTTGACCTTTTTCTTCAAAGCACTTGCTTCTGAATCAGGTTTCTTATTACTAGAATTCAAAGTGGATCACTTAGTGTTCACTTTTTCATGAGATTTTCCACACGCCCCATGCCTCTGTTTCCCACATAAACATCCCAAAGTATCAATAACCGTGGATAAATCAATGCATGTTGGCCATCGAGAGTTAAACAGTACTTACTCTCAATTAATTTTTACAGCAAAACCCCATACCGATGACCTTCGGCAAATATCTGACCTAATTAAGAAGAAACGGCATGCAAAAACTGCTAATAATCACACAGAGTACATTTGTTCACCGAGACAATGAACAGTCTCTGCCAATACAGCAAGCCCTGATGAAAAATCGGATTAAGAAGTTGTTTTGCTATCAAGTTTTTAAGGCACCAGAATGTGTTTCTAAAACTTTCAAGGAAAGCTAGAACATAACAATCATTTCTTCATATCTCCTGTGGATAGCTTTAAATACTCCTAAGTCCTTTTCTTGACCAGTAGTATTGCATGTTCTCTTTTACATCATTCAGCTACATTTTAATCCAATTTATAATCTTTTAAAATAAAACAAAATATATAACAATTTCCTCTTCTACAGTTTTATTTAATGCTGTGTTCTTAAGTAAAAATAAGCTCTATTTTGGTGCTGGCATTTTTTTTTGAGGTGTCACAATAGCCTGTTTTTCAAAAGGTAGGTCTCCAAAATACAAAAAAATAGCAGAGCGACCCCAATAATTCAAGTTCACGATCCATAGCATGTTTTCATCAAAGTTTAACAGGATTTGAATGTTACCAAAGTCAAAAGACAAGAATGAACTGTAAGAAAAAAAAAAAGATTTTAAATTTAAATCTACCATCACCTTTAGAACCTTTATTTGCCATTCTTTTAGAATGCACACTTAGTGCTACTTTTCACAGCAATTTCCAAACCAGCCTCAAGGTTTCCTAACATTGTTTATTATCATTTATTATCCAACATTTAAAACAATCCAACCTCAGTAATAATTAGTTTTTACTACTGAGAACAAAAGATACATTTCAAAAACCTTTAAAAAGTTTGAGCTTGTAAATTCCTAAAAAAGTATGCTGCCAGAATGCATGAAGTAGCATTTTTTTTCCAGTCCCAACTCTTACAAAAGCAAGAGAGGCCAGGATACCTGCACACTTTTATTTCAGGACAGCACATGTCATGTAAAATATTTCAGAAGTATGTGTTAATATAACTGCACACCTAAAAGGGATTTTTGTAACGAATAAATAAGATATTTGATAATACTAAAGCAGTCATTTCCAGATCCTCAGAGCTTGTTTTTATTTTGTGCTGTTAATATCGTAGCCTAGTAAATAAGCACATAAGGAAAAAACTTACAACGATTCAAGATTATAGCAAACAGCAGTTAGGTTTATATACTTTTAATTAAAAAAAAAAAAAAAAAAAGGCAGTGTCTTAAAAACTTTAGGCCCCCGAAAGATCCACAGAAAGCATAATATTTTTTAAATTAAAAAAAAAAAAATCTATACAAGAGTTCCTCATCCAACTATCCCAGTGTTTATGCTACACATGGACAGCAGTCTCCCCTACTATGAGGCTCCATTCCCAGCATTTATTTCCGCTCTAACTGCCACAAATTATACAATACTACAGCTGAACGCTGGGCCCCTTTCCTTTCATCTGCACGCCAAGAGCAATCAGATTACCCTGGTAACCAGCGGTCACATGACCAGCACCTGCTCTTTTGGCTGGATGCCACTGACTAAAGCCATCTGCTTCCCTCAATCAGCTTTCAAACATTCTCAACACCTGCGCTGCAGTGTTTTGTGGTTTCTTTTATCAAATCAGTGCAAAACTGCTTCCAAAACTTTACATATTTCTCAAATTTGTTTAATCAGAGGTAGGCCTGTCACGGAGCTGAACAGCTGCCAGGTAAAGCAAGTTGGCGGCCCGTCCTCCGCCCGCGCCCTCTCCACCCGGGAGCGCCGGACACCATTTGATTTAGTGGGGTTACTGCTCCCGGGGTGAGCCATCCTCCAGGAGAGAAAGGCTCGCTGTCCCGGAGCCCGCCGGAGCCCGGGTCTGAGGAGATGTCAGTCTGCCGAAGAAGAGATGAGCTCGTGCTTTTCCATCTGTCCCTGGCTGGGGACCCGCCCCACGGAAGCTCTGAGACCACCCGAGGTCGGACAGGACCCCTCCAAGTGCACGGACAGAACGCTGGCAGCCCAGGGACGCGCCCACCCCGGCTCCGATGACTGGAGGATTTCTAATCTCAGTAGATCCTGTGTTGTTCATGCTGCTCAGAGGCAGCTAAGCATTTCTTTGCTAACATCTTCTCATGACATCAACATATAAACCAGGAACACGTGAAGAAGTCAAATGCTACAAAGTCTTCATGTCACCCCAACACACAACAGTCAAGGACCAGAGACAGTTATTTACATCAGATCACCTTTGCCACTATTTTGCAGTAAGCTCATTTGGACTTTCAACTATTACATTAAAACTGCTTTGCCCCCAAAAAGCCAGAATCAGAATTTTTTTTCCCCAGCCAATGACGGTAATCAGAGCACTGATTTCAGACAGCCCTCAGTTCACATTCTAACTCTGTCATTGCTAACCTGTCTGTGATCCTGGATACATCTTTAAATTTCCCTATGTCTTTAAATTTCCCTGAGCTTCAGTTTACTCAACTACAAAATGAGGTTACTAATTACACCCTGCTCCAAGACTCGATCTTTCCAGCGCCTGGCACCCACGGCGGGGAACTATTCTCTAACTGTCGCTCAGACCCACAGGGCCGAATAACCGGCGGACACTTAGGGACAGGCCAGACTACAGTGTGACTGCTCATCTAAGCCACTGGAGGAGAAGGAACATCCTGTATCAATAGAGCTCAACACCAGCTCAAAAGACAAACGAGCGGACCAGCCCAGCAGCCACTGCTTTAGTACAGACAAGAAACACATCCCACCGTGACTGTCACAACACCCAGACTGCGGGAAAAAGGACACGAATCCCAAGGCCACAGCCGGGACTCAGACGTGTGAGGTGCAAAACTGATCTTTCGTGAAGTCAAAGCAAAAACATACACATTCCTCTTCCAAGTTATAATCCGGACAGCCTGAGCGTAGGGCAGCTCTTCCAGTAGGCGAGTAGGCAACGGTATTAACAAGGACACTATACCCCTTGACCAGACACTACGAGGTAGGGGAAGAGACCCCTGGGCTACTTGGCGCAGATCTACAACCTCACGGTGCCTCCAACAGCTGCGGCGCTGGCCTTGGCCCGGCGCCCCATCCACAAGGCTGGTGAGGAAGACTGGCCTGCATGGGGTCCCCCCCTGAGTGGCCTCAGTGGAGAAGCCGCGTCTGTCCTCATGCCTACCCTAGGCCAGCTCTGCCCACCTCCTTCCCTGAGCTCCGAGATGTGGTCCTGCCACCCGAACAACACTCGCAAACCCATCCTCCAGGCATCACCCGGGCAGCTGGCTCACAGGCAAACCTGACCGAGTCATCCTGCTGAAGTCCAGTCCCACGTGTACTGACGTCTGAGATTCTGCACGCAGCTTTTACAGTCGGCGATGTGAACTTTCTTTTTCTACTCTTCCCACATCCTAAATCCCCATCCTCCATCCTATGGATACACAGAAGCACTTTTGAAAGGATACACACATCTCCTCAACCTCCACTGACCCTCACTTACTCATTTGCAAGGCTCAGGCGGACATCACTCACTCAGAGAACCATTTTCTGGCCACCAAAGTCTGGATTAGTCACATCGCACACCCTCTACATGCCAAACGATGAACCCCCCACACAAGGCACATTTAAAACACACAACACTGGGGGCTAACATGACTGCAATGCAGTGAAATCAAAGCACTGTGTGTGTGTTTTTCTCCAACTATCCTGTAAGCTCAAGAAGGAACTGTGTCTTATTTATCTCTATAGTCCTCACGCCTGGTCAGGTGAGGCTAGCTGAGTGATTTAACTAAACCAGGGAAAACAACAAACACCGACACAGCCCTGACTATTTGCAGCTCAAGCTCTCTGCTTGCTAACACATTTACGATAACCCCACATAGATTCTATCTTCATGAAGCTCAGTAAAGTGAGGCTTAAGCACTACCCAAACAGAGTGAAACCCAGCAATGCCTCAAACCCTGTGCATCTGTATACTTCCCCTCTGTACTCACAAAAGTTTTTTCATTTCCTGATCCTTATCACCCATCATTACTGGTGTGGGGTGATGTAGGGCCGCCCCCTCATGAAGCTGGGCGGGCCCCTGTATTCTTGGAAAGGGGACTTCTTTCTGGGGATGCTGCTGGTGGCTGGCAGGGCCACTGTTCCTGCACCAGCTTTACTCACATGTCACGTGTCACCATGAGAGACAGGTCATGGTGGTGGGCAACGGGATGTGCTCAGGGTCAATGGCTAAGTGACACTTCGGTCTCCTTGACAGACCGAGCTCTAAAGTTCTCTTCCCGCCCCATGTGATCAAAGCCTGCACCAGCCTGATGAGAACTCCGAGAAACGAGTGGTGGGTTCAGAGAGGGGGTATTTACAGGAGGGGATCAGCCCCTCAGAAGGATGGTATTCAGCATGTGGCTATAAGAGTTCATAGCCATGAGCCAAGGGGTGATCCCTGGAAAGGGGCTGGACACATAAATCCCAGGTTGGATACAGCACATGGATAGTGAAGATTTCCTTTGGTGAGAAAGAGTACAGGTTTTTAAATCAAGACTTTATGCAAAGGACCAGGACTTACAGGAAAGCCAGCTAGCTGCCCTGGTTTGTTACACAGTGTAAACATCAATTAACATTAGCCTATGGATCTAAGTCCTCCAAGGAAAGGAAGTTTGAAAAGGAACCATGTTGGGGAGCCAAATGGGACCAGAGGAAGACAGTCAGCTAGCGAAGCAGCCGAGCAGCAGCGGGGATTCACCACACAGACCCTCAGACAGGACACGCTGGCGAAGGGCCTCCTCACACTGGGGAAAATCAACCATGGGGTCTGTGAACATTAAACAGGCCTGTTTTCAG